TGGGTTCAGTGAATAGGCCTATGAGTGACGCACAGTGTACTCTGCGCAGAAAGCAGGTTACAGAGACTAAAAGGCAAGAGCGAGTCTCACTTGGGAAGGTAGTTCAAGAGAATGAGGACACGTTTCCAGGGGACGTGAGTGGAATTAAGCATAAGGGTGTTGAGTTGGTGGGAAAGGCAGACTGCTGAAGTGTTCGGAGGTTGGCAGAGGCGTTCTGTGCCCGTATAATTTTACATTTTATACTCCTTCTATTTGTTGAAATTCAATAGGCTGGAATTGCGGAAGTTAAGATCCAGCAAGGAGTCCAAATAAGTAGCTTCTACTTGTAACATATCAGTACTATTGCACGAGGAAGCAAGCATTTTGAAAGGCATCCGAATTTTCCGGTGATTCCAACTTAATCGTCGTCTGTAATTGGTACCAAAAAAACTTTTGTAGCGAAATGTTTAAAGTTAGGCTAACATTTCTGGTTAATCTTAGCCGTGAAAAAGCCACGAGTATTTCAGCCCTGGAAATCCAGATATTTGGTTGGTGTAATTTTTGTAAATTTGTCAGCTTTTCACTCACTAAATAGGACATGGACTTGAAAAAACACTTTCTTGATATCTGGACACGGGAACGGTCATAGAGTTTATGTTTGACTTTAAAATGAAGACAAACGATTTTTAAGGTACAGTTTTGGTGTTGAATCTACAGGGCTTTCTAAACAAACGATTTCGACTTTAAAAAGTGATAGTTAAAAAAGACAATAAAGAAGTGAGTATTGAAATGCCTTTTCTACAAACAAGGTTTCATTAACGTAAACTACAATATAAAAATGATTTTACAATCCAAGAGTTGGGGCAAAATGTGCGTTTTTCTGTCGCAACTTTGACATTCGATTCATGGCTTCTAATATTATAAAACTTAAAACTGAAATTATTGGGCCAATATATTTGGTTCATTTACAAGCTTCATAAGCACCATCGCAAACTATAAAACTACATGCTCTGCGAATGAAGTGAAAATTAAATTAATTACTTTTACATGCAAAGAAAATGTAGAGGCAATTGGCTTTCGACGTGGATACTGCATACGGACAAAATCTTAATTTTCGACCATTAATGCATCGACTTGTAATGTCGTCGAAGAATCATTACCTCAATCACTCTATTTCAATTTAAATTTGAATCTCCTTCATTGCAAATGCTTGCTCGGAAGAGGCACTCTTAATTGTGTCATATAAAACAGCGATAATTAGGTGGGTCAAATCCTTCAGTTTAGGCCTTTCTACTTTCCACATAGCACTCCCAATAATACGATAGGATTGTTTGATACCACAATAGCCATCTCTCCAAAAATGCGCTAATTCAAGGAAAAATGTATTAAAAAAACCGACTTTGTTTTCAGTTCATTTTGAAAAACGACTTTTATAAAATTCATTATTTAAAAATATGCATGATTTCTATAATACATTTTTATTACACCTGACCAGCTCCAGATTTTCGTCTGTAACATTAGGCCGAAGAAAAAAACCAAAAATTCTTTGTCTAAATGTCAGAATCAACGTAACGAATTGCTTGGCAAAAACGAGGGAAGAAGTCTAACAATGTAGACAGTCTAAATAAACTTTTATTGAAGTATAATCTCTAAAAGATAGCAGATATTATTGTGATATTGATTAGATGGCCTGTAATTCACTTGGAAAAAAATAGTATAAATATTTCTCAGTAGTGGAAAAGATAACTGTATTTTACATCACATCATGATGAGCGCAAATGTTTTAGTTGCGTGTGATGAAACGCAAAGGCCTTAATAAATTATGTCAAGCATTTAGTTTACATTGATAGTTCAACCTTTTAATATAACCACATTATGCTGAACTATTGTTTTAATGAACTTGACTTTCTAGACCTCTGTTTGCCAGCTGTGCGTATTCCCGCATTTGTCATTTCCCAATTAAACCGTGTCTTTTTGGCACTGTAACTGGTATTCAAGTAGTGCTTTGTTGTTAAGCTTTTTTTCTCGTCCACTTAACTTTCCTGTGTCATTAAGAAATTGAAGTTTGCGCATATCAAATACTACAAGTTTCCTGTCTTTTGAACTGCAATTGCAAAAAGAAGTCGTTGGTGTTATGCAATGCCTATCCTCATTTGACGGAGATTTTAAAACCATGTTGTACCCCTTAATTTACTGATTGTCATGAATATCACTTAATTGATTCTTGTGTCCTTTAACTTGTCAACATCAGCTAACTCCTTGATATCCGTCATGGAATGTTGTGGCCTTTTTTAATCGTACGATATCTAGATCTATAGTGTTTAATAAGGATGAAAACTGAGTTTCTTTCACTGCTTTGCTCATTTAGTGTAATCCACTATTGGTCCTTCCCGCAGTGAAGCAATAGATTAAGTGGCGAGGTCTTATCTTGGATGCCTTGGTGTTATTTTTATAATAAACAAGATAAATATTAGTAATCAGAAACAAGTTTTTAGGCCATTTTGTTAATTTTTACTACTAAAAACTTATTCCATTCACTCTTTCTTAATAGATGCAGGTTGGAACGGCAACTTCCACAGCCAATCCTACTTCAGAATATCTCAATAGCACTGGAACCTGGATAACTTACATTCTTCTTATCTTCGGCTGTCACCTTTCACTTCTATGCATTCCATTTATTTCAGTGGCGTCCGTGTGGACACTCACATGCACTCTCCACAATGTTGTAAGCTGTCTGATTTTTTATGGAACAAGTAAAACATAAAATTTGCAGTAGTACGCACCTAACTCGTCACCTCAGCTTTCTTATTTTATGTAAGATCTCGCTTCATATTCACCGCACTTCTTGGAAGTTACTCGTTCTACTTTATTGTATGGAATTGGTAGTTGCTCAATGGCTAGCTATTTCTCAGATTTTAATCCATGGAAACACCGAGTCGCTCGGTATCGCCATACCGTAGCTCTTAAAAATTCTGAGTGGTACATTAGGAAAGGGTGTTCACATTTGTCTCGTTGACAACAATCACGACTCCCCTCTTATGCACATTCAGGCTACTTTTCCAAATGGCTGGTTTCGACGTACTGTGGAAGAACAATATTGCAGATCAATTCTCGCTTGATGAATACCACCTTTCTCTTTTGTGGTTGGATTTTTATGTCCTAGACTGCCACCTGCCGTACTCTGTTCTGCTGCCTTCTTCACATTTGTGTCTTGTCAACAAACACTGTTCTTTTTTTGCTTTTCGGCATTATGATTTGTGCACTTCATGTCTTTTTCGACACGGGAGGTCACGGTAATTCATCACACAAGGCAAAAATCTAAGTCGTGGCGTTATTAACCAGAATTGGCTTATTGACCCACCCTGCTCCTGTGCATTGTGCGCTTGTCGACAGATCTTCTGGCTTGGAAAGATTTGCTGAGGTGACTAATGCGGTGGTTTTTTGTGCGTCCACCTTGCCGTCCGTCCTATGCCCAGACGTTGAACCCGTGCTGGCTTCTTTATTTCAGCTCACCTACCTGATTCTGCACTGGGAGAAAGGCAGCCCCTACGAGACGCTTGACCAGGGCGAGGCAAGAGTCCTCACCCAATGGGAGCAATTTGACGACGGGGAGCAGTACTCGCCCACGAAGAAGTTCCTTCTTGTCGTCCCAATTGTCATGTAAGCGAACTTGGCAATTTGTTTTGTTTTCCCACTAAAATACATGTTTTCTTTGTGCTGTGTAACTGTGCATCGTTGTGGCGTGAGTCTTGTGCCAGGGGCTACCCTACTCGTTATTTATCAACCCGGGAATTTCAAAGCCACGATGAAGTAATTAGTTCCATGTTTTGCTCCCGTTCGTAGACCACGCGCAAGTGTGCTTCACACGAGGGTGCACGCAGCTTGATTACCCAACAACTACCAGTTTATGCGTGTGTGTGTGTGTGTGTATAACCCACCATCCAATCAGCTGTACTGCTATAAATCCAACCATTGTGTAAACATCAGTGTGCTGTTTCATCCAAACAGATTGTCAAGTGTTCCTCGTGCATTTCAGTTTCATCCTCGCCAGCTTCTACACCCAGTACGACCCGATTCACTTCGTCATCAACGCCTCGACCCTCATTCTCCTCAGCATTCTCCCCAAACTGCCGCAATTCTACCGCGTCCGAGTGTTTGGCATCAACCGGTGGTAGCGGTGTCTCTCCTGTCCCATGTGTAACCCCCTCGCCTCGCCTCGCCTCCCCTCCCCCCTTCCCACCCTCACCACTCCTACTTCTAACGCACGCACCAACATATCACTTCTCAGCCGATCGGTTGGCATGTCATCTGTACTGACTTTTGTGACATAAACGGCAGTGCTTTATTTCTCTCTCCGTGTGTGTGTGTGTGCGGTTTCTTCGAGAAAGGGACTCCACGCACCATCCTTGATCTGCTTAGTGGTCGCCGCTATTACGGCCGTTTGTTTGCGCAGTGCACGGAGGTAGTTTACGCTCGATAAGCACATTTAAACAACTTGTGTGGGGTGCTTCTCTCGCAAGTGCCCTTCGTGGTTGTTCCTGGTGCTTAGGTAATGGGTTCGCAGCAAGTTGATGTGGCGTTGTACTTTGCTCATCATCGACGTGTGTTTTCGCAGGCCCATTGAGCCAATCACGAAGCCTCAAGGGCCACAAGCGGCTCTCATGAATCGGTGTAATTGCCAATTAAACTCATCACCTGTGGGGATGACTCATGCACGCACAAGAGCCTAGGTTGTGTCGTGTTGCCTCCACCTGTGGTCGCTAAAGTGGTGGGTGGTCATCGGGGTTTTTGTTGCATAGTCGATGCCGTTGCCACGGCAGCGGTCGAATTGGCCGCAGTGGTGTCGTTTCCAAGGCCCCTTCTCTCGCCTATCGGAGTAATTTGGCCAAAGTTAACCGAGCTTCTAGGGTTAGATGGGCGGTGTGCGCGGGTTCGTCGAAGCTGTCGCTTTGAACTCTCAAGCACCAAATGTGGACTGTGCATTCAAGTATGGCTGCAGCCACGAATATGGGTTTGATCGTATGTTTATCGGACGACCTTTTGAATGATCTGGCGTCAGTGATTCCAGCATGGCATTGATGGGTCGAATAGTCTCGGGGATTGTGTGAGGTTGCCTACCTTTTTTAAATTAGGGGTCGATTGTCATAAATTGTCGAGTGTACGCCGCCGGTAATCACAACCACGGGAGGGAATCAACTGTGGTTGTACATTGAATTGACCTTTCCTGCACCACGACACATGCGATAACCCCATGAAGCCAGTGGTGTTTGATTGGGGGGGGGGGGGGTAACTGTCAACCCTACTTGAGAACCGAGACCTCAGTTACCATGGCAACGACAAACTAGTCGACTGCCGAGTGATGGATAGGTGTCCACAATCGTGCTACGAGACCTCGGGTCGTGGTTCTTACTAACCTCAACTCGAGTCAGTCTCGGTGTTCGACTGGGTGCCCAAGATCTCCCTGTACGCAGCAAATTTCCCACGAATTAGCGGAACGAAACGCCGCACACCAAGCGAAAACGCATCGGCACTTGTTGCCAATCCAAAAGACCTGCCGATCACAAACATGCCGCCTGATTTTGCGCTGTCAAGGTCATCGGGAAAGAACCTGAGGCAAACAGATTGCGAGGTAGTTGAAAGCGTCTTCAGCAAACGTCCTTGGAAGTATAAGATGCCTGGATGTCTTGGTGCCCATGAGTACAAGTGAACCAGAGTACACGCGAGCCACAGAGGTCGGTCGTACTCAGACTGTCAAATCTGATTGGGTCCTGCGATAGTGTCAAGGTCACTTCGCGTTTACCTACCCTCTTCCACCAATTCCACGGGAAAAAAGCATTTCCAGTGCCTGGTGAAAAAGTACTAGAGGGGAGTGACGACATCAACAACACAGTAGGTGGGTTGATTCCGCGCCCGTTGCCTGTTTCGATTGGTTACCTGGCGTGCTGCATTTAAACACAACGCCAAACATCAACTAAGTTGGCGACTCTGACTACTGAAAACCAGGAGTAGCATTCCACGCAGCAGTACGCAAAACAAGGCATGTATTTAGAAGGAGCAAAATGAATTGGATGAAAAAAAAGAGTCCACGAGATCACAGCATTCGAAGGTTGATAACTGCCCCGACCAGTCGATGCGGTTTGCCTTGACTCACGTGCTGGAATTCCGAGGTGGACGCTGAAACGAGGTCGCGCAGGCAGGCGAGGTCCTGTGGTGTGGGCAGGCCCAACTCCTCCAACAAACCAAGGAAGTAGCCTTAAAAGGAGGGAGACAATGCTTTAACCACACTAACCAATCAAATTCCAGTGATCCCGCCTCATACAAGCACCCCCAGCTGTTCAAACCACACACTGATCTGTTTACTCTCTTTCCGTCAAAAACCACCAACCAACGTTGACGTCCTTGACCTTGAAGTTGTCACGTACTTGCACGAACAGACACATCGCACAAAAGCTTGCTGAGCTGTCCAATGAGCGCTCGAGAGGCCTCCAGAAGGTCAAAAATAAGGGGTACCGAAAATCACCAACCAAGATCAGTTGCAAGTTGCTTTGCCCCGTGTTCCGTAAGTCCCGGTATCGGCTTCCCATTGGTTGGAATGGGCGAGGGAATTTCAAAAATGGCCTTCACGAAGGCCTCCGACACTTGTCCCGAGAGCAGCCAATCAAGCCAGGCCGTGATCATGGCGGAATTCTCCGCCTTCCTACTCACGACTGGAGGCGATGTTGGAGGCAGCGGCGACGACAACGACGTCAGGCGTGTGCGCTCTGTCGGAGACTTCACCTGGCCATGATCTACGTCCACGTTGAAGTCACTACAACGCAGGCACCCAACCAGACCGTCGCTCTGGTCCGCGCTACCTTCGCCCGGGTCCATAAAGGGCAGAAGTTGTTCCGGCAGGTTGAATATGTACTGGCCAAGCTGCAGAGGAAATTGGCAAAGAGATACACGCACACCGAAAACGGACACATAGCGAGTAGCCCGAGGAGGCGAACCTGAGTAATATACTCCTGCGGCAGGTACGCCAAATCCGGTAGACGAGCCTCCCCGCTGGCCGGATAGGAGGGCCACACCCGGAGTTTCGGCACCTTCGCTAACAGGTCGTGCACGGGAGCCATGGCAACGCGTGTTGCCATGTCAACCGCGGCCTTGCAGACGCTAAGGAGGCGGTTTACAAGCAGCACACTGGGAGCAGGCGTGGTCTGCGAGGTTGGGGGTTTGAGCCAATCAGAGGCTGGCATGAGGGGGTACAGGGTGCCCCAGTGGGTGCTTGGTTGGGCCTCACCGATGTGGGCCACAAGGCGGGGAGTGCTGAATGGACACTCGGAGTTGTTGCAAGCACCGCCTGCGTGCGTCAGACTGAAAGAACGAAGGTGGAACTTGTGAGATCGAAAATACCTCCAGGAACTCCTCCTCATTACTTCCACTTGAGACGTACTTCGAGGGAGCAAAGACGCTCTCCAAGGCTGCGTCGAATTCCTCCACAAACTTCTTCATCTTGAGCATGGTGCAGCCTAAAGAGAGAAATAAGCACGCGCGCGCGCGAGTGTTAGCGAATTGCATTAGAACAAGTGTGCAAATCACCACACACGCCCGCCCGCCCACCCACCCACCTGTCGCGGCCACGAGGAGAAGGACTGAACTGAGCCCTGAGGCCTGGGAGTAGCCAGACGCGACGTCCTCTCGCACGACGTAGACGACGGTCTTCTCGAAGGCGCTCGTCAACTCCGATGAGAATGCGACCACCAATTCCTGCAGGAGGCGCAAAAAAACAGAACGATTTGATTGAGACCCGATGCCAATAACGACGTCTCACGACTGTCTAGAGGTGGTGTTTGTTGAAGCCTACCTGTGCAACTTCGAGTAGACTCGACAAGGCGATTCCACGGGTCTGCGAAACCGCGAGTTGGAGGAGGCTGTGCAGAACTGTGAAGACGCGATCCGAGAAGACGTTGAGGTCTTTCAAGAGAGCCTGGTCGTCGGTGAACTAGAGCCGTGAAAATGAGAGCCGAATGAGGGTTCCACTTTAAATGGATGATAACTAGGCTGCATGTGGGTGTCTTACCGGCTTCTTGAGGCCTTCCAAGGCTTCAGTGAGGAGGTACTGAGCGTGGAGCCTGAAAAACTCACTGATTGCAGAGAGTGGCCTGCAGAGCTGGCGAACCACGGCCACACAGAGCTCACTCGGCGCACCGGTTGGGCAAAGGAGGGCGCATAGCCGACCCGTCATTTCCTCTGTTGCCTAGGCGATGGAAACGGGTAAGCCTGTGTTAACAAGTGCGTCCGTGACCTCAGACACGCCAAAATCTGCCAAGTCACCTGCAACAGTTCACCGCACCGGCGCAGATTTGTGTCTGGATCGGCGCTCGAAAAGACCGAGTCAGTGAGGCTGGGAGTGATCCGTTCGAGGGAGTTGATGAGACCGTTTAAGAGGGGCGCGCAGGACTCCCCTTCGAAGAGTTGGAGGCTGAGCTACAGTACAAAAACACCTACTCATTTCCTTCCCGGCAATTGGTTAGTTTGGTCTGCCCGCTTCCTGAACCGACCAATGGGAGTTGACAACTGACCAACCACGTCCAGGGCTTACTTTTTTGCCAACAGTTAGGCAAAAAAAACTAGGAATTTAGAATACCACCAACGTCGTACCTGATTTCTGAGGAAGGCAAATGTTTCCCGGTAGAAGGCGAGAATTCGGTCGGTTGTGGCATCGAAGGATTGTTGAAGGGAATGTCCTGATTGGCTGACGGCCAGTCCACGCGTCTTCTCCCAACTTTCTACAATATGATTCTGCGAACAAAACGAGGTGACAGATTGGAAAATCGATAAAAAACAATATAGGATTGCCACTTTTAGCGAGCCAACCACGTTTCATTCTGTTTGTGTCCGTGGATTGGTTCACGAAAATTGCGTCCTCACTTAAATGGAATACTGGCCATAATGTAAACCATTCAACTTATTCTCAAAAATATCAGGAAATTTGATGATGGTTTGAATTGAGAGAAACTGGATCAACACAGCCAATTAAGATGTGTAATTGGTAATCACTTGCGAAATGTTTAACTACGATTAATTTACACGCTGAGTAACATGCTACTAATTACCTTCGTGAGTAGTTGTTTTCTTAACAATAAAATTTCGACGCGAGATTTACTCACCGCCAACCAGGTTACATAGTACCGAACGCCAACAGCCGATCGACCAATAGCATTGAAGATGGAAAAGAGGTGGAGAAGGCTGGACGTTGCTTGCGCATCGGAGGCGTGTGGAAGGGCGTCGAGGAGTTCCATGACCCGGGGAGCAATCAGTGCCTCTAGCCGGTCTTTCGTGGAACTCAAGAGAGCCTTCCTGGCCTCGTAGTCTGGCATGTGCTCCATGTACGCCTGGTAGAATGGAACTAATTACCAGATTGAAGATGAATCATCGACAGACGGATTTTACCAGAGGGAACCTACCAGGCTCTGTTCCATGTCAAGGATGAGTTGGTAAAGCTGAAACAAAAAGGCAAACCGCGGTAGAGTTCACGAGGCTTCAAATTGGAGGGCCTACCTGTTCGACGTTTCCTTCGCCTTCCATGAGGTCCTGTCTGGAGTTCACCAGTGTGGACCACCGGTTGGCTTCGCGCAGAGCGTCTGCGGCCCTCTTGACTCGGGTGCGTTGGCGGTCGAGTTCTTCCAGCTCCTTCACAACCCCGCTGTCGTCAATATGCATCTAGTAAAAGGTGAAACAAAATGCCTACTTAGAAGATTTCAGTACAAACGTGTTACCCAGCGAAGCAAATAAAAAATACCTTGCGGAAGTCATTTTCTACGCAATCCATGTGATCCTTTAGCAGGATAGCCTGCTGATTCACCGATTCCACATCACGGAGGAATCTGTTTGGATAAGACAAAACGGAACTTGGTAACATCAATGCTTACTCACAATATTTAAGTAACACGAAAAGGATAACTTCAGCCGCATTACCGCGGAGTTGCTTGTGCGACTTCGTGGAAGATATTTTTGACCTCCTGGTTTGCAGCCTGAAAAAAAACAACAAACGAGATTGAAGCAACACAATTAAGTCAACTTCTTAGACCACATCTGAGTTGTTATTGGTTAGTTCTAGCCAATCAGAATGCGTCCTGTCAGGACACAAAGTGATAAAACAACCACAAGGCACTCACATCAAGCATGCTTTGTACGTTGAGAATCAGCGAAGACAACGCAGCCTACAAAAAGAGGGGTCGAAACAGTTAGCGATGGTGGGAGGGGGAGGCGGATGAGATAAAATACGAGCAGTGATTGGTGCTCACGTACATCGGGATTCTCGCTGGATTTTAGCTTCGCCACCGCCTTGTTAACCCATGTTTTGTGGTTGAAGTCGTCGGCGAGGATTTCGTTTATATCCTAGAGGGAAATTCGTGATTAAATTAATCAAGAGTCATCTGGATAGCGCACTGTGACATGAAAGAGGTGAGTGTTAAAATCACATTTTAAAACAATGACTAAGGGAATATTAGAATTAGTTGGTCGATATTCTGCAACACGATTGGTTAGAGTACCCTCACAGACGATTGGTTGTCCAAACTCGTAAATGATTGGTTGTGCAATGGTCAGGGACGCAATTGATCAGAAACGGCTACCGGAGAACTGATTTGTGTGGATATGTAAGTGGTGACGAGAACGTAACTCAGTCGGAATTTTGAAGTTTTCTGTTTAATTCTGTCAAAACGCATGCTTTAATTGGCGAAATGCGCCAAAATTGCCAACATCCAATCGCTTAACGATTGCCTCTGTGATAACCAACCAATCACACAATAAGACACCAAATTGAACCCAAAACACGGCTTATTTCATTGGCTGAGCTTTTATTCATGTAGTTTGGCTGTACAAATGCGTTTTTCCCGGCAGGAAAAGAGTCGCAGCGATGGGCTCTTGCGAGGCGTTGTGTCGAAGCGTCAGCAAGAGTGTGCTTGAGGCGGGTCGAGTAAGCGAGCCACGAATTTGATCGCCTAAACAAACAGGACGTAGATTAACCAATCACAGCTGACCTACCAGATGAGACGCTGATTGGTCTCTTGAGGAAGATAACTGATTGGTTGAAACGAGTGGCATTAGCCTGCGGTGATGTTGAAAAGCAAACACTAAAAGGCGCATCGCAGTCCATTTCGCAGTCCAAGTAGAGGACCAGCGCGTTCACCTCTAGAGGCGACGACTTCTTGGAATCGAGTAGTATTGAGAAGTCAGGAACGTCGAAGAGAAAGGTTGGATTTTGCAGCATGTCCAACGACACAAGCACCGTTGGTTTCTCAGACAAAATTTGCACAAACTCGCCATAACTACTTAAACAGATTGAGTAGACATTGTTATAAGCCGCATCTACGAGAGGCGACGTGTCGAAGCCCACTGAGGAGGTGGAGGGCGGGATGAAGGCGTCTTTAATTTCCGAGGAGATGCACGCTCCAACGAGGTTGAGTGTTGCTTGGCGCGGGTAAATCCGACCGACTCGGGATCGGATCAACGAAAATATCTGTGACTCATCAGTTTCGAGGAGGCAGTCGCTTAGCCAATTCCACAACACGACGTCAACCCTCGCCAACGGCACATTGGAGAGGCTTTCGAGGACTTCAACAGTGCTCTCGAAACCGTTAGCTCTGTCGAAAATTGGAAATATGGCACAAATGATCCAGAAAGTCTGCCACGTACACTCTACTATTTATAAAATAGTAGTCTGTTTTTAAACTTGAACCTACTTTGACATGGATTTCACAACCTCAGAGAATCGGCGGGACGACTCAATGGCTAGCACGCGACTGGCTCCAGCATGAGCAGCAAAGACGGAGAGGATTCCGCCATCTTGACAGAGATTGACGACGGTTTTGCCGGCGAAACAGTCCCGACTATTGTGTAGCATGAATTGGCGAAAAGCACTTAGCGTTGTGCGATCAACTGGCGATAAAAAAGGATCAATTGCGAGGACGAAGCGAAAATAATCAACCCACAAGTTAGTTAACATAAAGCAATGGTGAGAGGTGGACAATCACATGAGCCGGGACACGATTATTGAATTCGAATGGAATTAAATAAGACATGAGGCAAACTTACGCAAGTACTGCGTCGGAAGAACTCCTGAGGAAAACATCGACGGCGAAGGAGGCATATCTCCGGAGGGAACTGGAGGTGCACTACCGAAAAATGACCCAGAGCGGTCGTTGGCTGGTCCGCTGACAAGTTCAGCAATCATTTGTCTGAAAACGTCGAAGGAATATTTGGTGGCAGTCCGCGGTTTGAGAGACAATAAAATATGAATTGGTAAAAGAATACAACTGAAAGTAAACTCCGTGACTGCTTACTTGCACTTCGTCAGCTGAAAAAGGAGATTTTCATTTTCCTCTCGAAGTTGTTCGGGAGTCTTTTCGTCATCGGATAAGACTTCAGAACCGCCGAAGAATGATTCCACATCTACAACACGTAAACAGTCTTACAATGAGCTCAAATGGACAAAGTATTGCTTTATGGAAATGGACACACCAATCATTAGGACAGCATCACCATCAATAACAGGTTTGAGAAATGCCAGGCGATCATCCTTGCTGATTGAAAGAAAGTCACGCCACTGTTGAGACTTCTACATGGAGAGAGTAAATGGAATTACTTATTCGAACCTTCAAACGAGCCCAATTGACAAAACATATCCACGTGTACTGATCGGCAAAGAGATTTGGCTCTTTCTTCAAATTCCAGTCGTGATTGTTGGAAAGGTGATCGAAAAACTCAGTAGTGCTGTGAGTCACGTTATCACAAACAAAACACTGGTAGTCTTCTAACTCACCCTCATCCATTTCTATTTCGCTATCGCTGGAACTAAGCGAATCGTATTCGTCCATCTTAAAAAAAGGGCAAAAATACTTGTTTTTAAAGAAAGCAGGTACTTTGGAAAAAAAAGCACGAATATGTTTTAAAAAGTATATATTTGAAAAAAACAAATTCCATTCTATTGAAACTTTGAACACTCTGTCATAAGACATTCCAAAACCTCGCGATCACTTAGGTTTTCAGTTTTCACAATCAAAATATTTCCGTTGACTAAATCCGTGTATGAAGTAATTATTGAGAGCTTACTAAAAACAACCTGCATTTGGGGTGGGAACTTGTCACTTCGGACATTAACCCTCATTATACAGTTTTCATTAGAACTGCGCCACCGAGGCGAAATCAGTAACGTAGAAACATGTCTTAACTGTTAACAAATAAATCGGTTACCTGATCGAATATGTTCTGGAGAAAAACGGATTGAAAGTAAACTCGATGCTTTTTACAGGCTTCAAGTTTACTTGCTGCAAAAACGTGCGGTCAATGTTGAGGTCGTTCAAAGCAAGTGGAGTGCGAAAATATTTTACAATAGGCAACAACCCACGGGCACGCTTAAAAGACACCATTGGGTCAGCTTTCCACACACAAAAACGAACTTCCCGCCAATTAGAAGGTCGGACTAATCAAGATAAAAACCCTTTGCAGGTGTCGAACGTAATGTGCGTTTTAAAATGAATATATACGTAGTAAGGTGCCACAATTTACACTATTTTAGCTTTATTTTTTATTAGGTGTGTAATTTGATGCAAATTAAATTTTAGCTTTGAGAGTATTTGTTGTTTTAACTATTGACGTATTCTCGGGTGACAGTCAACATTCTTTGTATTAACTTTCAAAACATTATAGCTTTTACACTATAAATAATATTTTTGATCTTAGACTACAGTAATTAAGTTTCCACTGTTGCTCCTTCCATTAATTATTGTCAATTCAGCCAACATTGTGGTTTTTCGATATTTACAGTACCTAAATGAGTGTCTCTATCATAAAGATTGACAACCGGGCATACTGTAGAGTTATGGTATTTAAAAGCAAACGTATCTAATGCAGAGGGGATTAAGCCTAGTGAGAAGAGGTCATGTTTGTCCTCAGGCCATGGGATTGCCACGAGAATAGCGGGATGGCGTAAGGAAGGAAAGATAAATATCAGAGCAGGCCAGCGTCAGCTGGCCAAATGGTACTCATTACATAACGCCTTGCCGACAATTAAAAGCCTTTTGTATGATTGAACACCATTTTTCCAATAAAATAAATAAGTTATTTTTCGAAAGTGTAGTAAGTAGATTGACTTTTGCAGGAATTCACTAATCCAGTAGTAGGATATCTGAGGGGTCACTCATGAAGCAGATGAGAAATTTATGAAAAGAAATGATCTACTGGAGGCCCACCCATTCATTGTGTTTCTGTAAAGTTTTAGGGATGAGTTACATGGTTTTTCCCACGGCATCCTGTTGCATATCGATTTCTAGGATGAGGATTCGACCTTAATCATCCGTCCATCAATATCTGTCGAAAAGAGCTGCAGCCTTAACATTTTTGATTTTTCATCCAAAGTCTAATACTTAACCGATTTCCAAGGTAAAACGTGATAATTACGCAGCAATATGGTTTGGTAGTGTGGCGACGGATCAGGGCGCAGACAAATTGGACCACACTGGCTTCAGCCAATCCTGTGTTTCTCTGCTTTCGGAGGACCTGCGAGGAAGATATGCAGCCAACCAGAGAAGGACACGAATGAGATGCAATATACTATGAGCGTCGTGGACTCGGATGGAAGGCGCCTGCCATGTGGTTCTGGCTTGTGATTGGTTGATGAAGCCTGGTCTGTTGTACCAGCCTTATTCCTTTTAGGGCTCGGATATTCTACAGTAGTGATGAATATTTGGGCGCAGACATGTTGAGCCGCGCAGGCCTTAACCAATCTTTTGCCTCTATGTGTTTGAATGACCTGCGAGGCAGACAGACGCGTAGGAGAATCAGTATGAAATGAACAGCGCAGCCCACCTGATGGATTCGGATGAACTACGCTTGACGCATGGTTCTGGTTTTTGATTGGTCAATAAAGCCTGTTCTGTTGAACCAACCTTCTTCATACTAGGGCTCGTATTTTCAACACTAGGGACGATGGCACATTGTTTACTTCACAACGTCGCAACGCTGCTTTGCACCCCTTAAGACTGTAGCCGGCCCTAACTAATGCCACTGCTGCTCCAGCGGATACACCTGAGAAGCCGATGATAAGGGCTAGACAACCGAGGTGACCAGAAAGCTGATCGACACTCAATCCTGGTTCTGGAGCGGACGGATCCCTCCGCCTTCCCTGTGGTGGTACGTGCATGATTTCATCCTGCGCTGAATCGGTTCATGCGTACTCGACCGTTTTGCTGTCTGTTGAACCACCACAACCAAATTATGCTAGTCTAATTTCCACTCAAACCAAGTCCCCTCTGATCAAGTATGTTTGGTCTTTGTGGGTGCCTACGATTATTGTCGTCGTACATTCACTGTGTGATTTCCGGTCGCCCCTACTTCAACACACCGATTCCCCAGTGACTACACATCGCACTACACCAATTTAAAGTGTGCGCTCCATTTACAGCCAGGAAACAACATAGATGCACCATTACAGCCCGCTTTACTCGAAGTATGAAGAAACACCCTGCTTAGAACTATTCATCGATGTATAGCAATTATGATGGCGAAGGCGAATATCACAGGCACAAGGTTCATGTCGTGAATACCCCTACTTCCTATAAATTAGATTCGACAATCATTCAGCCTGTAACGGAAGGTGGCAGGACTACTTTTCAACACACGTTAGGCTATTAAGTGACCAACTCCGGTCTTGTTGTTCGAAAAGCTCCATAAACATGAACTATTGAAACCAGACAACATCGTCTCCTTGAACAGGAAGCCATCCGAGGGAGCAAGAATGAGGCTCCATACGCGCTGATGAAGTGGAAGACTTATTGTTTACAAAGCTATGCTTTAGAAAATAAGAGGTGGACACAAATAGGATAAACAATACTGCAACAATTTGGCTTAAGATGATGCGGATGAGTCGGAAGTGTTGTTTCGTCGACTTAACCGCTCTTCAGTTGCGAAATGGAAGGACTGGGACTGAGTAACTGGTTTCGAAGGTACCGCTGCTACTGGTTTGTAAGTTCGTATGGGCTCAGCTTTGTGCACGGTCATTCGCCGTTCCTCCTTCAATCGCTTCGCGTCCTCGGCATCCTGCTCCTGTTTAAAGAGGGCGACTCTGCGTTCAAGAGATGCTCTTTTGGCCTCTAAACGGGACTCGAAGGACGCTCGTCTGAGAGCTCGCACACGGGTCTCGAGAATAGGAGACAATGGGGTGGTTACGCGGGCGACGGGAGGTGGGGGCAGACGATCCGGTACACCAATAGGCATCGGTTGAGCGCGAAAAGAATTAGCCATGCGACGCGCCTCTTCTTCAGCCTCCTGCTCGCGACGTTTGCGCGACAGGAGCAGAAGGCGATCTTTTTGTTCAAAGCTAAAAGGCTTCGGTTTTGTTACATTGGCCTGGAGGACACAAAGAAAGTAAGGTTATTTTCTAAATGACGCCTGGATTGTAAGATAAAAAATTAAACTCTGGATGGAGCGTACTTTTAGTGAACCACCGAAGCGCAGCCCACGATACAAACACGACCCTTCATCCTGCGATGGTGTCATAGACTAAAAAAAAATTCATTTATCAATATAATTGTAGCTATTCATCTTGAAATTAGTACCAGATAACGAACAACCTAAATCGACTATACACATATAATAAAATGGAACTAGATGATATATCACTAATTTCGTTAAGCCTGGTCATTCTGTTAGATTTGATAGTTTAACATAATATTGCCGAATACTGAACTAAAGACTTAAATGGCAACCACAACAACTAAATGATCATCAATCCAAATAAATACAAACTATAGAACAATGCCAATACAGGCAAAACGTAAAAAACTACAAGAAATATAATGGAATTACTGGGTATTATTGACAACTTTTCGCAAAACAAAATACTATTAATGCAGCCTCTAAATCCTGCCAAAGTATAAAAATTACCAAAAAACATGGCAAACACTATTAACCTGCTACAAAGAACCAAAAAATGCCAAACTAACCATTGTGACTTCCAACACAAAAACAAATTAGCCGCAACTTTCGAACGATACAGTCAGCGTTCTGGGACTATTTAAACAAGTTACATTTGATGTCTTTAGTACATTCATTTCCACAGCAAAGATAACCCACGTATAATTGCATTACAAATTCTTATTATTACTAGACAAGTATTTTTCTTGTTTTTTTAAAAAAAAATCGGCCAAGTTACATCTTTTGTAAAGCTGAAGTATTTCGCAAAGTACTTCAGATTTTAATGCTTTGATTGATTTTTTCACTTTATTCTACTTATGTGTACTTCAAACTTAAAGAAATTTCATCACTATGCACATTTTTTGTCCTTCTTTAATTTTATGAGTAGATAGCTACCCATAAGTTTACTACAGGTTTCATTTTAAACATTTGGTCGAGCTGAGAAGTAATAATTTGTTTTATTATATACATTTTAATATCATAAATGTTTCTATTTGGTACCTACATTCTTTAATGTGAAAAATATTTTTCCAGAATATAGTTTGAAATTAACATAAGTAAACTAAATCCTACTTATTTATATGTATAGGCTGCTTGTAGGACCTACTTAACCTCTACGGTCTGCAGACATTTTTGTATATTAATGGGAACACGATGTCATTATGGCACAAACGCATGTTGAAACTTATTAAACGCATTTAGTGCACACAGTGCATTAGATTTGACTGTTTGATTATATGCGGTGAAAAATTTGGCAAGGATGCGATTCTGAAAGCACCTAAATTAATTCTTCAGGCTAAAAGTTGACGATTCACCAACTTCAGAATATGGTTGAGAAGCTAATTCCAGGCAATTTTCTTTAAAAAAATTTATTTGCATTGAAATATGTTTAGTTTGCATAACTAATATTTTCAGTTATTAATTAAGTCTTTTTGCTGCTTAGTGACATTTTACATAGCTTACCGCAACGTTTAGTGAATGTTTAGATTTATAATAATTTCATATTTTGCTGCATACAGGCTGTAGAACGCTATTGAATTCATGCACAATGCAGTAAAATGGCTATGTAATTGGAGGTTTTGTTGCGGAGGCAGAATTATGGCTCATTTACACTAACCCTTTATCTGCACGAACATATCCGTGCACTTAGTGTTTCAGTATCAAAAAATATTTAATGCTAGCTGGAAAAAGAAAAATTGAAAAATGTTTATCTCTAGGTGGTCGTACGAATAACTCTAGTCTGATGAGCGCCGTGTAGATAACTGGTTTACGCAATGATGTATTATGGCACCTCAGGAGACCGGTATCGCGAGTACATCGATGACTCAACTTCACACAAAATTAAAAGTGCGTATTGGTCGACTAGACAGGCGGTAATCCGCAAGCTTGGTAAGGAGGAGGACCGACACGTAGTTGCTTCGGATGCCGAGCTCGATTCAAAATTGGAGGTTTGCTTGTCTATTGTATTCTCTAATCGTGCTTTCAGCTCTTTAAGTCGGTTCAGTCAACCTGTCAAGAGCTAAGTGACTGCATTGACGCATATTTGCGCTGTATTTATGGTATGATTGCATGCACTTTGTTGCTAAACTTTGTAGTGCTTTCCCAAGTTGAGAATGACACTGGGCGGTTTCTGAAGTCGCGAAGTTCGGAGGATAAGACGCGTGCTGGAAAGATGCTTTCCGCTGTTGGGAAAGCTCTGTCTCACTCGGCGCAACAGCGGTATGTTCTCGATACCGGCGCTTTGCCACCGATCCAATTAGTTGATGCATGCTTTCTATTTTTCACAGGCTTATCCTACAGAACCCTCTAACGAGGTTAGAGCAGGAGGTTAGAACATTTCGTGATCGTGCGATCGGTGATACTGCAAACACGATTGCCCGGATGGAGACAGCTCGAACTGAGTACCGTGGTGCTTTAATGTGGATGAAAAAAGTCAGCGAAGAGCTTGATCCTGACATGTACAAAAAACTGGACAAATTTAGACGCGTCCAGACTCAGGTAACACCATTGCATTTTATTACCGTCGGCGTCTATTGTGTTTTCGTTCAAACTTGTCTCGTGTATCTTTTCCGATATTTCGTCTGTCGATTGGCTTATGATTGCTTGCCACGCTTGCTTATTCTTCAATTCGGGCCGGTATTAACCTCTCACTTTATTGTCAAAATGCAAGAAAACCCGATCATACAACTTTTTTTTTCAATTATCATTTACGAAAAGCACGGTGGCGGCAAATGTGTAGAGACCACAACAGATTCGCTGTGACATCTTTGCCGTCAATCATTTTCAAATCTCGCGTCATCTGGAAGACGGTGTATTTTTATGCACAACTTTCTCGTTCAATTTGAGCGTCAAGCTATATTTGCTCCTTGTCCGAGTAAATCAAGCAATGAAGCAATGCCTGGTATATTGTGTAAATTGTATCACCTTTTGTAATCCCATAGGTTCATTCCTACTGGTCATCTTTACTTTATCTCTAGCATCGTTTTGAGGACTTGGTCGGGTTTTCGATAGCTCTGTATCTTCATCGTTGCTTTCAACCCTTGCCTTAGCTTCCTTTGACTGATTCAATCCTTCAAACATTACCTAGGTGAAGAAGTCAAAGGCCGTTTTCGACCGTTTCAAGTTGACGTGCATGCAGAAGGTGGACCTTCTCGCGGCCAGCCGCTGCAACATGCTGAGTCACGTGCTCGCTGCTTATCAGGATACCCTGCTGCAATTCTGGGAAAGCACGGCTCGGTAGGCGACGTTTTCACTCGGTTCTGAAGTGCCTCTAGACCCTAACATGGGGCCTTTCTTTTTGCAGAACCATGACAACCGTCTCAAACAGTTTCAAGGGCTACCAGTACTACGAGTTTGCTCTCCTTAAGGACCTAACTCCTGAAAGTCGCAAACTTGCCGAACAAACCTCCCAACAGTTTGATGAAGGTGATGGGTACGTTTTGCGTTAACCCCGCACGGCAGTAGTTTTGGCCTTTCCCACTGCACTAACCCCGTGTGTCATTGCCGCTGATGGCTAACATAACCGCTAGGCGATCGGCTGCTTTAACCCGCAAGCACCGAGTCCTAATTAGTCAGCACGACAACACTCTTTTAGCCAATTAGGTGGCGACGATAAGAAGGTCAGTGAGGAGCGACCGACCAGTCAGAGCGAGAATGCGCCACCAGAGGAGAGCTTGAAGGAATCTGGTGATGTGGCATCAGAAGAAAGCGCTGAAAGGTAGTGTTGATGGCTCCTTTTTCATCCTCTTAGCACTCGAATAGGAAGGCGGTGGTGGTTGTTTTGTGTCCCTAATTGTCGGTATTCCCCCGTTTTAAACCAATGACCGTTTTCTTTTTCCTCTTTTCTCTAGTATGCAATCGGGCACCATTGAGGGGGAAGCTGAACCACCCAAGGACCTCTTGCCAGAGGAGGAAATCGATAAACAACTGGACTCGCTTTTCTCCACCTCCACCGGCAATGTCGATGACCTTCTTTTCTCATCTCTCGGTGACACCAAGCAGGCGGTTCCGGAAGCCGTCGGCGATCTATTCCAGTCCTTTGAAAGTGCTGGCTCACTGGCCGATGAAAAGCGTTAGTTTGATTGCTGTGCCTCCGGTGCAACATCTTCATTTTGCCCAAATCCTTGGGGCAATTCCCCATATTTCACCAATATCGGCTTTTAGCAAGTTGTAGAAGGGGTCTTTTTCTTTTCAGTTGCGCAAGACTCGGCCTTCCTCAAGGAAATCCTCTCGCTCAGTCCAACGAAACCCGCGAACCAGTCCACCGGCCTTGGGGATCCTGGTTCACCACAGCAGCCAACAGATGGTGAGTGGTGAGTGTTCTAATGTTACCGAAGGTTCACCACAGCAGCCAACAGATGGTGAGTGGTGAGTGTTCTAATGTTACCGAAGGTTCAAAGCATCAGGCCATAGTCTGGTTGTGGTGTTGCTGTGGGTCAAGAAGCAGACCGGTTTGTAACACGTGGCTGCCTTCCCCGTTTCAGGATCGTTCTTCCGCGTCAACTGGGACAGCCACATGTCGGACGTGTTTTCAGCGTCTGCGAGTGGTGGAATCAGTCGACCGCCGATGGTAAGCCACTTGGGCGGCTTAATTTAGTCTGTTGTGCCGAGATTACGACTGTCTGACGCGGTTGTGGTTCTTTTCTGCTTTAGGCACCGGCTATTGGCGGGTTCATATCGTTGCAGTCCCAGAAACCGCAGTCTGCAGCACCGAACAAGCCAATCAGCGGCAACCGGTGGCCCCAGAAGCTGGCACCGAATAAGCCCAATCCGGTAAGAACAATCATTTTCATCATGTCTCTTCAATTCGCTCTGCCCTATTCGCGCAACCCTCCAATGACTGTCTGGTTTGGTCGGTTTTCAGCAAAATGTAGACGCGTGGATGAACTTTTTCGCTGATCTCACCCCTAGTGAAAATCCTGATCAGCAGAGCAAGAACAAGGGCCACGTGCTGGACGCATAAGCGCTGTTCCCCGGCCCCACTCAAACCCCTTGTACCGCGCATTGGGCTCCTCGTATCACCCTCGTCCTCCTCCGCCTCTGACCTGTGATATTACTTTTGTGCTTTTCTTCATTGTGCTACTTGCTGTAATATCTTGTTTGTGTCTTTCTTCGCATCAAAAGTGCCGATTAGCCTCTTGCTTCTGGTGCAATCGAATTTGTGGGTGCTTCTTGCACAACAGCCTTGTTTTTGTGTGTGTGTGTGTGTGTGTGTGCAGGCGCATGTTATAGTGCTACGTGGTGACGGAAGTCACCTCCGCTGCTGGTGTCTTGTAGACTCCCGAGCAGTCGATTACAGTTAATTGGCACCATTTGTGGAGTTGCGCGAACGCCTTTGGTGGGGTTGTGTGTAGTGGATATGCTCGAATAGGCCGGTCAAGCGTTGCTGTCTCCACGAGCCGAAATTTCCGCGTGTTGGTTCTGCTTCAAGCTCAGATCGCCGTTGTTTCGATGGGAAGAGGCTCCCAGGAGTTCGACAGGACCCACGTCATCAAAATGGCACTTTTTTGAAATTTTTGGCGTTATCATCAATAGTGGTGGAACTGGTTCGCGAAGAAGATACACCAGCCAGGAATTTGAATCCACACACCGACAATTGGAAAAATAATCATGTGTTGTCAAGGAGATGTGCGGCGGCGCTGGTTGCGGCTCAGATTGTTGAAGAACCCTATGCTGTTTTGCAATTCACGCATGTATAATCAAGCACCAGTAAGACACGCTCATCTTTTGGACATCTTGTCGACCCACCCGCCTCCAATGATCTATGATACTGCTCAGCTCAATTTCTAAGCGTTTCTATTGGCTACGAGGACATTTGGTGTACCAATCCGGTGCTACGAGTCGTCGCTTTCCTTAACTCACATCAGTGAACTTCCGTCCATAAAATCACGCAATAAGTTCAAGCTTACGCCGACTTTACTTACCAAAGTGTCCACGCGTGTCCGTCGTACGGAAATACATGTAATTATACATTAAATTATTGTGTTTAAATCATACTTCCCGTGATTTGCGCTCTAAAGCGCCAGGTGCTGACCGCGCGCAAAATCGATCGATTATCGTCGCGGGCTTTTCAACACGGCGACAATAACCAATGGAGTTTGTCTTCGAGGTTTTTTTGTAATTCATGCAAAAATTACGGCCCAGGCCACACTAAACCCCCATCTCTTCACACAACTACGCCACGGGCACTAACAAAATGCATTTAGGAAAACAACCGGACACCGTGGGGAGGGGTCGGCGGTGTGGGGAGGGGGGGGGAGGCGGGCAGTTGTTACAGTGAAATTCGCGTGCCAAGCGAGGCCTTGAGCGTCTCGTTGTAGGCGCGCACCAACTCACGCGCCTTCTCCGCCAACGGCGCGCAGTCCGTGAGGCTGCGTTTGTTCGCGATGGCCTCCCTCAGCGAGTGCGTGGTCTGTTCGTGCTGGACAAGGCGCTTCTCCAGCGCCGACAACTGGATGTGCATGTCCTGTGAGGAGAGTTGGAGCTGGGCGTCTGAGTACTCCGCGGAGAGGCTTTGGTTCATCTCACTCAGCTGGTTCCGCGCCAGCGCCAAGCGCTCCTGTTCTCGCGTTAACTAGCCAATGAAAGATGCACGGTCAAGGTCATATTGTTTTAGAGTTCCACGAGATCGCAAGTAGGTCGAGATGTCGCCTGAGGCGAATGTGCAAATTTACAAAAAAATCAAATCAATAAAAGATTTTCTTCGACAACTATTTTGAGGGACAGTTATCCTGGGAAACTCAACGTGTTGCATTTTTGTCATGCTTCCGTTTTCTATTTTTTTTCCCACCAATTACCTATTTATAGTTAGTATGATAAAGTAGCTGTCATCATCTGCGTTCCTATTGGCTGCCTCCATTGCCATCACGCCTATTGGTCGGTTTATTCAATTTTCATCAAGCCATGTGTGTAATAACTCTTATGACAGCATTCTGATTGAATCCTTCCGATTTTTGAAGAGTTTGGAAAAAACATCACATAAGCTGAACTCACGAAAACCCGCTTCTCCTCCGTGACCTCCCGAACTGATTCAAGATCGCTAAATCGCTTTATTTCCGCTTCCATCTTGGTAATGCTCTTTTTCAATGTCTGAAGCTCCTAAATACAGGGAATGCACAAAAAAGCGGAGATCAACAACAACATAATTTGAGACGATTGGTATAAAAATGACCCCGAGCAAACACCTGTGAGATTTTCCCCTCCAGCTGATCGACTTTCTGCAAGTCGCGTTGCAGTCTCAATCGCTCGCCGTCCAAGGAGTCTGCCGTGGACGCCGATTTGGCCAGCTCCTTCGACTTGAACGTCAGCTGATCGGCCAGCTGATTGGTGTCGATGTTTTGCCTATCACCAGCGGTGAATTCGTTGGTTTGATTGGTGCTCACAATGTACTGCGAAGCCTTCTCTAGGGACTTGACAATCTGGTCTTCCAAAACGCCCGCGGCCTCGTTCTCCTCAGCTTTGGCAGTTGAAAAGGAGTTGAGGAAGGTGTCCATCTGTTGCTCGCGTCGTTTCAACTCCCAAAACTTTTGATTTCTCTCACTGTGGATATCCTCGAGTTCTGCGCTCATCTGGCCAACGGCCGATTCATCCTCGCGAATCTTCTCGTTCAATTCGCGAATTCTTGGAGCAATAAAACAAGGGCTCTTGCTTTTGTAGACGAAAACCATCAAATCATGTTATGAAATATTGACAATTCAACGAGTGTCGACTGTGGACTGTCTTAACATCGCGATTCACATGAATCTTATCACGATAGACCTCGCAAGATTTCGTGATTTTGCTATTCTAAACAATAAAAAGCAGCCTTAATGAACCATTAACAGCAGATTGATAATGTGTCAACAGATGGCTCTAAAGGAAGAAGAAGAGAGTTTGGAAGGCCCGGAATATCACCCTGTCCTTACTCTCTGTCCATATTGGCTGTCTCACGGTTGTCCTCCTTGATTTTGGCCAATAGACGCTCTCGCTCGACTTGTGGATCCTCCTGGCTAGCCTCAGCGGCCAGAAGCTGGTCTCGTTTAGCCTCGACTTCTCGCAACTGACCCAAAATCCTCATTGCCTCCTGTTTAACCTGCAATCACAATCGACCCGCCGAGTGAGATGATTGGCTAACAAAACGAAAGGTCATCGTCGTGGTGTTGAAATGAGCATCGCTAATCTGATTGGCCAAGTATGCATCGATTAGCCAATAAGAAACCACAGGCTATGCTTAAGCAGCATATTTTAGACGTATCCTCTATTAATAAGTTTTCAAGCACTATAAAGCCTCAGCCATTGCTCGTTACACTCATACTACCTATTACTGATTATTAGTAGTATTATTTATATCAAGATGCTGGTCATACCTGGGACGATGAGATATCCAACTCGAGTTCCCTGCGTTTAGCAGACAACTCCTCAAGTTCTTTCTGTCCCATTTCCAACTGCTTCAGCAGATGCTGCGACAAGTCTTTCAATTTCAAATAGGCAGATTTCTGCTCGTCTGTCATGTCTTCTACCACACCTTCAGCTATTCTCCTTTCCTAAGGTGAAAAAATATATAACTTGACCCTCCATGTTAAAAAAATTAAGATTTCTAAGTTCTCAAAAAAGAGCCAATCAAAATCAACATCTGGTGTCGATTTTGATTGGCTTGACACGACATCACCCAATCAGGCCTTAGTCGAACAAAATTGTGAATTGAAATAAGTTTGAATTTAACAAAGATTGCGACTTTGCTTTACTCGCCTGTTCATACTCCATTTCGAGGGACTTCAACTGGGATTCCTTCTTCTTTCGCTCCTCAAACAACCTCTCAAGTCCCAATTCAGCACGCTCGTTTGCCATCTTTACATCTTCCCAATCGAGTTCAATTGATGAGATGTCGTGACCAATGGTTGCCTTATCAACTAGTGTGTTATAGTCACCGAGTTCGCCCTGTAAGCAAAAGTAAAATTAACCAATGAAAATCGCTCCACGCCTTAAGGTTACAATTTGTAAACGCGAACAATCAAATCGTACTTGAAGTCCCTTGATCTCTGCAGCCAACGCTTCGGCCATCTGCTCATACTGGACGTAACTCTGGTTCTCCTTTTCAGCTTCTTCGTGTTGTGCCGCAATGGAGGCCAACTCAGCCGAGACCTCATTGATCTTCCCACGGAGGACACCAATGAAGTAAGAACGATCCTCAATTTGCCTTCGCGGACCCTTCACACCGGTTTTGAGTCCTTCCAGGCCCTGCTGTGTGATCGGTCGGTCTTCAATGCGTAGATCGGCGTTGAGTGTGGCGGAGGGAACACCGCCCTGAAAGGCAGTTCGTTGGCGCAGTCCCGTCGTCAGACGAGTTGCTGTTCCAGCTGGTGCTGGGGGTACATGACCTGTTCGAAGACGGTTACCGGTTCCCGGCCGCATTGTCTGGTGGAATAAGTAGAAAAAATCAATTTACAGCCGCCAATCCAGTAAACAGACTTCATAGTTAATGGGGTCAATCATGTTGCACAACGTAATTCACATAAAGCGGACAAACTACTCCCATTACACGCAAATGCTGGAAGATCGAATAAGTAATTTTTGAATTGAGCGTTTTTCATTATACTAATAATCAATTGGTTTGAATATATTCAGCAAAGAACGCGGTCAGATTTAACAGATATTTGTGTATTCACATGGCAAAAGATACCTCCACAAGTAAAGTCGTTCTATACGACCTAAGTCAGTACTGGTTTTAAATCCTCGTCAATAAAGTCACAATAGTTGTTGATTAAGGACAAAACACATGCAATGTCAGTCTTGCTGTCAATTCGCTAACAAATTTATGTATACAGAAAGCTAACAATATACACTTTAGGGTAATTGTTATTAAGTTCGACCAAACTTATACAAAATGTCAGTCAAAATGGTTTCAATGAATTCAAAACTGGTTACAACCATACGTCAGTCGCGATAAGATTCAATACCACAGGTAAAAATACATAATAAACCGTAACTGACAGAGATTAGTTGAAGAAATTGAATTTGATTAGAGGCTTTAGAATACTAAAGTTCACCAAGCACTTTTTTAATTTAAAGCCCTGTTTGATTTTAAAATATTTCAGCTCCAAATCAAACTGTTTTTAAATTAATTCAGCTTTATTTATGAAAATTTGAATTCTTATTGGGTGTCAAAATATTTGATCAAAACAATCATTTAAAATAGAAAAGACGAATAATACAAATAAAAAAATAGTGCAAGTCGCACTATTTGCTGAGGTACGAGCAATTTCTCGGAGTCAAACATCCAAATAGGTCTTCTAACATACCATAATTTTTAAACCACATGTTGGATGAGAGTCAAGTCTGCAGCATACATGAAATGGCGAAATAAGTTAAAATGTAACTCAACATTAACCATTTTAATAAACAACTACACAGGATTAAAGGACCAAAGAATCCAATCAGTACCTTTGACAGCATGTCGGTAAATTAATTTATGGGTAAAAAGTCGTGTTCAAGTTCTGATTTGTTTTAATGTAAATAAAAAAGGATACACAATTTATTTAGTTAAACTATAATAAAGGATAAAAAATCGGATCAATCGTACATAGGTTTGTTTTATGACTGGAATATTTAAGAAGGAATAAACACTGACAGGCGTTTAAATTTTTTAACCTTCAGATTTGGCCTACCATGGTAGATTAAAAAACTTAATTATGTAAACTAAGCATAAATATTGTAAAAAAATAATCACAGAGAGACGACTTTAATACTCATAACAATCGAAAATGTATGAGATTTCTGTTGCCAAGGCTAGCACATGTGAGGCGCTTACGCTAAGGGAGTGAATTTCGTTAGTTTAAACACAATAGTTTACAGGCTACTTGAAATCTGCACATTTCATATTAAAGTATAGCCCCTTAATAATATGGTTTGTGCCGATAACCACAGCTTTATTAGTAATTTAAAAAAAGAAAACATTTGTGAAAAAATTAATTTGAATTAGAAATGCTAATATGTCAAAGTTTTATTCACACCTTGCTCTTCAGCTTTTGATAAATAAAAAATTGCAACGTTTTTAAACTGTTTATATAATGAATAAACTGGTTAAATATGTTCAGTATTTTTCGAAATGTGCATCTAGTGTAGAAGATTAACAAAGTTAAAATAAATCCATAATTCGTTCACAAGTAATTCTTCCGGTCTGTTGAGCACTAACTGCCAAGTTTACCTAAGCTGACTGTCTGCTGAAACCACGATGCACAACAGAAAAAATTCAACTGCCATTACCGCATTTCCAACAGCAGAAATAACTGACTTTGCAAAAATATGCTTTCTCGTGAGAACAGTAAAAAAGTAATTCAAAATATGATTGAAGCTAGGAAGGCTAGTGCAGACGTGTTCGTACGAGTAATCAGATTACTGAATAAAAAGCATTCTTAGGAGTCAATGAATATCTCACAAATGTGTGATCGGGTTAAATACGATCATATTTTTGCAATTTCTTAAGGTATATATGCCGATTTAGACGATACCACACTTGTCTTCACATTTCGATTGTAAATGAAGTATACGGAGCTATGCCTCTCAAGCAATTATATTCTTTATTACATGGGGGAAAATTCTTCATTAATCCTCTTAGGTTATACTTTTAAAATGGTCGCTTCGAAGTCAAACAATGTTTTTTTTAGTGTAAAGATCAAATTTTTTGACATGAGGGATAAAGGGAAAAATATAGTTTCCTTTTTTGATTTGTGCAAGTGATTATGTTATCACAAATACATTTAGTACTTTAATTAGAATATGAATTTTTGCTCAGATCATTCTGACGAATTAAGTAAAATGCTTTTAAAATTATTTTGTTAGTTATTGCTTGAAATGTTTATAACTTTGTTAGGTTTAAGTTTGTTTGTTTGCATTAAATTCCATGGCCTCATTACTCCAGTCTACTGCGGGTGAAGTAACAGTGACCTTCAGCATGACTTGAATGTTTGGTCTTGCACTTCTGATTGGATTGCACAAAAGCAAAAAGAATTACAATTTAAACATTTTGAAATGTTCAAAGCTTGGCATTAGTGCACGGTTAATTTGAATGTTTTAGTGCACTCTAACACACCTGGCATTCACTGAATTTTGAGGAAGATTTCGCAATTCCTTTTTCAATGGACAATGTTGCAACAGCTCATCGGGCACTGACTGGAGTTAGCATACTTAGACAGCATGAAAGTCACAGTTAGTTTTGCGGACACTAAAGTGGTTGTACCATGTGGTGACGGAAGTATTCTCATCAGGGCTTTAGCAGAAATGGCTGTCTGCAGATTCCGAAAGTCTGCTGGATCAACATTTGGCGTGAGTTTTTTTAGACGTCCTAGTTTCTTTTTTATTATTTATTTCCTATGCAGTAACAATTTTTGCAGTTGCTTCATAGACAATTTATGCAAATTGTTAAAATTCACTATCAGTAAACATTTTTCCATTAGCGAGTTTGTTTTTCTACACATATTGAGTATATGCCTCGTGGTTACAAAGTGGTTAACTGTTAAATTTCTTACCCCAGTTTCATAATGCGTCAAGTATTTGCGTATTTAGCTTGCCCATAATTTACCCAGGAAACTACGACATTTTCTTTCACATTTTTTCCATACTAAGGCTCTTTGTACAAATTTCGATTGCATTATAAATTGTACATTGCTTAATGTGGATGTATAATTTCAAATACGATTTAATGAAATTTTCAATATAGGACTTAAGTCCAATAATGTAATGGACTTGATGGGATTGCTAATGCTTTAAGTAGTGTTACCGTTTTGGCGTTCCAGACTTAAACAATCGTTAAATATGCTTTATCGCACTTTCTTATTCTTAATGGCCTTTTAATTGGACTGTGTGTTGCAAATTGCCAGAAGTATTTATTTTTCAAATCACGGCACATTGGTCTCTACATTCAACATCTTTTATTACTTATTTATGGTCATGTGATTGATATATTTCCGGTTTTAAAATGGCATCACACGCGAAAATGTTCTCCCGGATATTCCTTAAAATGGTCACACACCGATCAACTTTGTAAACTTGCATACTACTTACATTCAACTGTTGTAACCAAAAAAAGGGACCGACGCGCCTGCATTTGGTTTACCAAATATCTCGTAGAATATTTTATGTTTCTATTCACTATCACCATCCGATTGGCTGGATTTTTTGTGCTTGGGATTGAGTTAAAACAACATTTGCTGTCAAGTAAGCCCAAGGAAAAGGTTTTGTCTCAGCCAAATCCCATCCCATTGTTGAATCGTGGTCTGGTTGTGCTACCCAATTTTCATTACAGCTACACGTCTACAATTGATAAACAAATCGATCAGTTACTTGCCGAACGAATTCAATAAAACGCGGCTGTTTATGCGTCCGATTTCGGCACATTTAAATTTATTTTACGAATGCAAACTTTCAGCTAACCTGTGATGCAGCTGTGGCCATTACGACATTTAAAATGCCTTTGTAACTAAATTGTATTTTTTTTTCACTGATGCATTGTGTGTTAAGATAGAAATGATTGGTCGAAATTCGTTCTGATCGTACACGTTTACCGAGATGTCAATTTCAAATAAACCCCTTAAACTACGTGTTGCCTTTTTAACAGGAAATGAAATATGTAATTTATTTGAAATTAAACACATCTATGACATCGAGTCGTTAATTTGTTTGATGTTTGGTATGAGTGAGCATGAGATATCCTACCAAACCACCGCTAAATTTAATTCTTTTTCTCATTGTTTATTCTCAGCACAGCGATTTCGGCGATAATTTAAATTCATAGCAGCAAACACTATTGTTCTCTGAGGGTTTCCGGTTTTACGCTAGTGTTTGGTAAAATTCTAAGCAGATTCTCCTCCTTAACGAGCATTTCATTTCTGCTTTCTCCGACCAATTTGAAATAAAAAAATACCACGTCGAAACAGTGTCTTTCATGAGCCAGTCGGGCGTTAAAACTGGCTAACTTCTATCTCCTGAAGCAACAAAATTCGGCTCTTCTGTGTGTAACACTCGTTTTTTGATGCAAAAATAACATTTTTTCCAATAAATGTGTTTGTTTGAGTGCACAGAATGTGTTTGCGTGCGTGTGAGCGCCCCGTTTGATTTATTGAACGCATAAAATGACGACTGCACGAATCGCAAGTATCGCCTTAGTTCTGAGATACGCCCCAGTGGATACCATAAGTACCGATCTGATACTCGTCTTAATTGCGATCGATGCGCTTGGCAATGATTCACCGGATCCTGCAGGAAAGCAAGGTGTCTGCAGATGTCAAAATTATGCGCCCGCATGTCTAAAACTGTGGTTTTGATTCAAAGACATGTTAGCCGATAAATCATGAATGCGTTTCCGTGTGGATAGCTAGGACCACTTGAGCGATCCTGTATATTGCGAATCCTCAATACTTTAAGTGTTCAAACGCGTAAAACCCTACTTCCCCCCCCCACACACACATTCTTTGACTTCCTTAAACTCGACACCACTAATTAGCGTGTCCAGTTGTTCATTCACACTGCTCCTGCGATCGCTTCGTTCATCCTGTGGCAATGTGCAATTAGCAGCTCTTTTTTCTCCAACCTCCAATGTTGGCTTTTTTCCTGGCCTGGACCTAACTGCTTGGCATGTCGACGGAACACCGAAGACGTCAAACACCCAAAGGTGGTTAGTTGGTGGCTGCATCGCAAACACCTGACATCCACACGCGCATTTCCGCCCAGTTAGCACAAACTCAGGGGCACGGAAAAAGGCGGTGAAATTCCCCAAGCGGCGTTGTCCTGCCTTGAAGGCCTCATTGTTCTCGTAGAGCGGAACTCCACAAGCAAGCGGGCTTACGAGAGTTAGCACGAGCGTAATAGATTTAAGTCTAGATACGCGTAACACGCAGAATGAAATAAAATATCTAAAAAATGGCCTCATTTAGGTCAGTAAAACCTTTTAGTAATCAAAAATGCCCTTTTCCCTGCCCACTACTTGTTATTTACTGCGATGGTGGCTTTGAAACATTCGAAATCATTCATATGGTTGCTTTCTTTTTCACTACAACTACTTAGCTTTAAGCCTGCGTCAGCTGCTCTACCTGAGGACTTTTAATCAAGAAATTTACCCTTGTTTTAGCAGGGCTGTTTAACTAGATGATAAAAAATCGATAATGTTGGGTTCCTCCTTACAGGTTTAAAATCCAAAACAGTGGTTAGTCAGGTCGAATTCTTCCAGCACCTTTGAAACACCCGCCTGCGTTTGTCTAGTTTGGGAAAGTGAAAAAAATACTTTGCGAGCGAGTAGTTTTGTTCACAGTAGCCAAGCAGCACCGCATAATGTGAGAACGCATTTTTTTATTATCGCACTGCTAATTGGTTGCTGTCCGACGCACAATTTTTGCTTCTTATATACCGTGTTGAAATGTTTCAGCCACTCTGCGCATGAACAGCCACTTTAAACATGATTTTAGAGGAGGCGAGTGTTCTTTTTAAATACCTGTGACCTCTCGAACAGCCTTCACTCTCGTAGGCATTTTTACTATTGGTTTTGACCAATCAGGCAGAGCCTGAATGCTTTGTTTTAATCATTGGGACGCTGGGCGCGCAGTAAATCGATAGCAGGTTGAGCTAAATGACCGAGTTTTCGTTTGGGGAATACAGGCGGAGAGATTTACGATAAAATATTTTTCCATGGTTGTCTAAATCACCCTCACTGTTGGTGTTTCGTGCGGGTTGTAAACCCCCGCAAATAAGATACACTGGCAACATTATCGCCCACGGGTCATTTTAAGGTCAAGTGTACCAAAATTCCCATCTCCACACACGGCTGGCGCTGCCATGGTAAACTAGCAGGAAGAATCCCACAAAAGTACGCACGTGTGAATGATCCATTTTGTCACATCTACGTGTATCGAATTCCTCAAGCACTTTTTTCAATCACCTGTGGCTGATTTTTACGCAGCAGTGCAATCTTCCCTCGAAAACACATGTTCCCGATTTACTTCGACTCAAAATCGCGCTAGAACTGATGAATTTATCGATCAGGGTCGTTTCTAACGCTAAAATGTAATGAAACCGTGACCTTGAGATAACTGCGGTCGATGGTGATTGGCTCCCTGGATATATAAATAGGACGCAAGTCGATTTGCTGGCATTTTGGAGAAATTGGATCAAGCATGGCAGTAATTAATGACGTTGGGGGCAGACCACAACCGTGGGATGTTTTTTTCCACTTTCCCTGAAGGCGTTGTTTACACAAACACACGAAAACAGGTACCACAAAGCCGAATGGGAGCTTCACTTTCTTCAGTGTTGTCCCTCATCTGCACAGTGCCTAGTCCACTTATGTACGTGAACGATCGTAAAATGACTTTCCAATAAAATGCGTAAACAACTCCAGATCATTCGGGCAAGTGCTTTTGACAAGTAACTGCCAGTCAAATTGGTTGGTTATCCCAGCCAATCGGTGATCGCGTAAATGCGTGCTTGTGTTTATTTGTAGTTGCCAGTACATATGTGACCTGGTAGGTTGGCTGCGTCACCCAGTTGGTGACCTTTGGGTCGCAGATGGTGCGTTCTATTACTGACACACGCAAGCCTGGCATTCCAATGAGTTAGTGAATTTAAACAAACGTACTTCGGAACCTGGGATATTTGAGTTAGTTTGAACAAGGAAGACAATCGATTATTATATTCCTCATTGGTTCACATGGACAAAGAGATAATTTAGAATAACATTTAATGATTTGCAAACATAAAAAAATCGTTAAATAGACTCATCCCGTGACCTGACTTTAGGCAAACACCCTTTTGAGCCAATTAAATCACGGAAATTTCCCGAACACACGTCTAAGACAACTGTGTCACGGACACCCAATAAATTAACCCCTCTGTTCTATCGCCTTCACCACAATTTAGAACCATCTGTCTCGAAAGGGGGGGCGTTCCTAGACATTTGACTTCAAAGCGAGTCTCCACCCTTCGCGCCAAAGGATGCTAAGCTACAGTTGCGCGCAGTTTCTCTCATTAAAACAAAGACAAGGTTGTGAAAAGCCCAACGAGGTTTTAATTGAAATTACAGCAAATTTTCTTTGCTGTTAGTTGGCACGCCGGTACAGCTCGTGTGTTTTCACTTGGATTCAGTCTCGTTAAAATTACTTGACGAGGGATTGTCTGATGTCGTGCCAGGAGTTTGAGTAGACTAACTTTTGATCTCCGAACACGTAGAATTTAGCAGGTAGTATCCGCGCGCAGTCATTGCATTAAAGTGAATAAATGTAGACGTTCAGGGGTACAAGGAATTACAACGATTTCAGGGCAGAAAACTATTAAATTGAAACTTTTAGAGGATTACCGCAGTCATCAGTAAGTCATGCAAGATGGCGTTGTCTCTGACGTGTTTAAACGTCACAGAATTTCGGGGTTCAAATGCGTTCAACTAGAACTCCTTAAGGTTTGCAGCAAACTCACCTCTAAAATGCATGCAAGTCATATAAGATTGCACTGTCTCAGGCATGTTGAAACCACAAAAGGTGTCGGGGTTTTTATGAATCAACCTGGGACTTTATAAGATTTCAGCAGCCTTGTATCTAGTCACTTAAGGTGGCGTTGTCTGTTGGAGTTGAGACGGGTTGAACTGGAACGTCTTGAAGACTTCAACAACTGTACCTTCCAGCGCAAAGAAGCTCGCGCCAGACTGGAAATTCTTGAAGATTTCAGCAAACACATCATCCTGCCGTAGGTCACAAGATGGCGTTGTCTCTGACTTGTTGAAGCCGGAATCCACACGCTAACAGTGTCGATACGGTAAAAGAGCGTTGAGATAGAGGGTGTTTCGTCGAATTCCCGTTGACCTCCAAGGACAATGAGGACAGCGTCTAGATGCTGATACGACGACCCACACGATTACACGCGGTTGAGCAGTGAAACTGTCGAGATTAGCATTCATCTCGGGAACTCCAAGGACCTCGGTAATGAGTTACATGGCAGCACTGCCGGATCAGCGAAACCGTATATTCGTCGGCTAGTCGCCTCTTTCCTTGGTTGTCTGTTACTTGACAAGCAGTCTAAAGCCTCAACGTGAGACAAAGTATTCAAACTCATCTCTTCTTCCTTAATTCCTTCGAATAACACGACCAGACGAGGAATTAAGTGTCAGACTACCACATCCTTTGGCAAGAGACCCAAACTGTGCAAAGACCACGCTTGAACTGTTCCTAGTCTGCTAGTGTATGTGGACGACGATTGTTGACTGATCCGATTGGACAAAGTGTTCAGGACAGCTTCGTGGATGATTGCATGAAAACGTGACCCTTCAGTGTGATGTACCAATAACCCACACACACACACACGCATCATGTTTGTAGTGAGCGCGTCATGTTAGCTCGTTATGTGACACCGTCAAAGCATCCCCACCCAACCCATTGGGGTGGATTTTAATTGAGACCTCGCGTAGTGCAGCTGAGGCACTCCCTCCGTTTGCACAAAACACACATTTTTTGCCTCAAACAAGAAATTCTCATTTATGGGCGTCTGGTCGTAAACGCCCTTTAATCTACTAAGTCGTTGAGCAGGATAATTAATGGGGATAATCAAAACCATCCTTCACACCAGCCTGCATCGCCTTCACAGGAAAAGAGTGCGTTTGTGTGGGTGTGTTTTTTGTTCTATTTGTGCAAAACAAATGCCCCTTTTTTACTGTTCGATCCGCGCGCTATTAACTGCGCTCCGACTTATCACGAAATCTAAGCACGTCAATGCAATTATTGCGGTAATGGATAAGCTAGCTTCTAGCCCCTGGATCATCTGAGCAAAGTAGTACAGCTTCAACAACGCCGAAGCTGCTTCTGGCAACTTCTAGGATGCTTAGAGTTCGTGGCGCACATACCCCAGCTGATTCGTCATCCGCCAGTCCGTCTGATATCTCATTGGCCGTCAGACAGAGTTTGTTGTTGTCCGTTAATTACAATCACCCTTTTCCTGAACTATTCGTGACCACAAAGTCCTCGGTTTTTTTGTGTTAGGCCATCACGGGAGGTTTACGAGGTGGGAGTGGTGCGGGGCATGAGGACGGTGAAATCGGCGGCACCACGGCATTGGACGCCTTCATGTACTCGGACACAGCGTCGTCCGAGGTAATCCACGCCGTCGGTGATGGCGAGACGCTGATTCTACGCAAGCAAAACCCCTCCGCCATCATTCTCACCGTCGAGGCGCTGATGCTGGCTCGAGACGGTGGAATTCTTGACTGGGACGACCAAGTTTCCGACGTCCTTGACGACAGAGAACTGGTAAACCCAACACGAATCGTCCTAGTTACCCTTTCCATGCATTCAAAGTTCTTATTTGGCTAATTTTACAATGTTTCTTGTAAGCAAAATATTTGCGCGACTTCGGAACTACGAGAAGCGTGGTGTTTCACAAAACACAATCGGTAGAATAACGTTAACCGTTTGACATTGTCCTGATGAATGATTTTGACTCTGTTGTGCTGTTGTTCCCATCAAGCTCCTCGCGAAATTTAAATGGGACTTTCCAGCCTCCAAGTTGACCAACTGCCAGACCTCCGAGCCTTCCACGCTTCGACGCATCTCCAAGTCGGCACCGATTGTGGTTCCCTTCAACGGAGACCTGGACGACTCCGGAGAGGCATCATCGGCTCCTTCAACGATGCCTACGAACCCTGCAGACTCCTGGACGCCCAGTTCCTCAGTGGTCAGTCTGAACCCGCCTCTTCGAACCAACGCGCCTGCACCTCCGACCTACGTGCAACGAACACCCTCACCAACTTCCTTAGACTTTGCCATGGGTGAGTCCCACAACCACTATTTCCAACCAATGGCGGATGGGACTGGATCGAACAGGATTCAGACAGTCGGGGCATTCACCTCTCACAGTGATTATCTAGCATTTTCGGTACTCACGGGGCAGTGGTAGCACCTACGGACCCGGCGTGGATGTGCTCATTCCCTATAGGCTGGTTCAAGGTCATGTCGCAATTTTGCGTTTGTTACTTTGTTTGAATGCAGTGCTTAAATAATTTTCAATTAAGATTTTTGACGGATGTTACTGGTAGGACAATCTTGATAACCTCATCTTCCAAGGAACAATTTCCAATGGTCCCACTTTTTCCACGCAAAGTCCCTAACGCGCGATTTTTATGGACTATAAACGGTTCCCATAAACACCGTTCTGGGCCACTGATTGATCAAATCCAACCAATACGATTTCACTAAAATTCGCCACACACACTTTTGATGTGTTGATTGCGTGTGAATGGGCATTGACCTGAACCCCGGCCTCCCAATGATTTTTTTGATGCAATACCGACTAAGATGGCTTTGATTGGCCCCTGTCAAGGTTGCATTAATGGCTTCTGTGTGTGTGTATGTCAACTCAACGCCAATTTCCGAAATTCGGCCTCTGTTTTGTGGCTAGCAAAACGAAATTTGTGTGAAAAAGATTGAATTGACTACTTGGACGGCACGGATCGCGTGGCCGAATCGCGTGTTTTCTCAGCTAACTCATTCAGGTGTTAGCTAAATGGGACATTATTTGTCCCCAAGGTGATTTATAAATGCGCACGCAAGCCTCTTGTTGCCCTGCAAGTAATCAGTATCGCTTCAAAGTCAAATGTGGCCTACTTTTCACACATTTCAAGTTAATTTCTACATTATTGCGCCGAGTTTAAACAGTGCCTGCTTGAGCCGCGCACGTAAGTCATTTTAAATGGTGTTTCGTGCGCGGCTAACAAGATTAAGTCAGTTTAAGTTCGTCTACACAGCCACTCATGGTCAAGATTCTGGTTTCGATAGAGTATTTTCTTTCAAAGACAAGAATAAAACTGTTTAGACCACATGTAGTAAACAACGTGTGTTTTAACTACAACTTTGCAAAGTTGTCATGGCAACCTTTTTGGAGCACTCTACACCAAAACAAGCAGACAATGAGACCGGCTTGTTTTAAACACGTCCAGCCATGGCGTGTTTTTTTCTCCAGGCATTATTGTTACTTTGCCCTCCGTGAATATTCGGTCAAGCAGTCACTTTGGCCGGAGTAACTGGCTTCTTCGGTGTTGCCATGGTGAAGCGTAAGAGAGGGAGCGCGCACGCGCGCGCGCAAGCGTGCGTGCGTGCGGAAATACCTTTTCTAGCCTTCGGTAAGGGTGAAAGGGGCATTCATTAGCTAATGCATCTTCCGTCTTCTGACACCGCCCTGTCATGACCTCCAATGCATAGTCTACCTAAACAAACACGCGCTGTCACCTACACGTACATGCTAACAAAGGTCGGACTTGCCAACATAGCCCCACAGGCAGAATTCATGCTGTTCCCAGTTTTGTAAGCTCTAGGTAACCACGTCAAGAGCACTCCGTCTTCGTCAACTGCTCACCTGATCCACCTTCGTGGCAGAGGCAAATTTAGCCTGTTTAATTTGCGTCCCTTCCGTCAAAAGTCAGATCCCTTCCTCGTGTTGGAGCCTGTTAATGGAATCTTGAAACACTCTTGTCTTGCATCCGCAAAAACACGTTTTTAGTAACTGTACACAAAACGATAGATCTTCATTTTAAAAAAAATTTGCCAAATTGTAGACATACTGCCAAAATTTGAAGTTAAACTGTGTTGAGGACCACAGATCAACAATCGGTCTTCGTTAACGCAGTGCCAACGCATCGCACCTGCCTCACTTTAGAACTCGTGAATGTTGAAAAATTTTGTTTTGAGTGAAAAAAAATTAACCCAATAAGAAAGCAGCCATTTCAGTTGCATGTTTTACAAGGGTCTATGTGAGAGGCATGCGTAGAAGTAATTTAGGACAAAGAAATTTAAAACAAATTCTTTTGTTTATCTTTCAAATTTCGTGGCTAATCCTGTGAACAGGGGAGTGGTTTTAAGTTAAAAAAAACAACCAGCGGTTAAAACGCGCGATCCAATTCGCGGTCGCAGTAAACAACAGGTCTTAGGGTAATGAGTTCGACGTGACAGCGGAAGCAACGTTATTGGCTAGGATGCGTTCTTTTTGCCTACTTGAATCGCCAAATGAGCATGTCTGCTGTATTCGACATTCTAGGGAGGTGAGAGTAACTTGTTCGGTCTTCTCAGACGTAAAAGTTATTGCCTCCTGCTCCCATGTCTTTTTGTAAGTTCTTTTTCTGCTCCATAATGTTGTTTTAATTTGCAGTCCGTATGTTTAAGTCCTCTTATTTTTTTTGACAAAGTTATCAGTGCTAGTTGTACCTGGTTTCGGTCTACTTTCACATGGCACTAAAATTTGACCAATCAAGTGACTCTGTCTCATTACAGCATCATCATCACCCTTATCTTGTTCATTTCATTTCATCTAAACAAGTTTCTAGCAGTTACTTTAACCATTCATGTTTTTATGGTGTAAAGTTTGGCGTTAGAGTGAACTCAAATGAAATGTGCTAAATTATATCCACGTTTGTTGCCTGCTTACACCTTTTCAATCGGGCACCACTTGCTGCGACTTAGTCAATTCCATTGGTAATTTTAAAATCTCCATCGACCAATGAAAACTCAACCAGTACGTGGGCTTTTTAAAAGGGACGAATGAAATTTAGAAATCCTATTTAACTACATTGCTGACATCTTTTATGACGACCCTAACAACACTTAATTAGCCAACTGACAGCGTCAGTTGTGGAGGTATGCTTCCAAAGCATTTTTCGCCGCGGACATTTCACAAGTACCGTTTTCGTGACGCTTAACAGCTGTTTCACAACGTGTACTTTGTCACCCAACGATTTAGATGCTTAAAGTCCACGGTGTGGTTAAACTGGATCCCCGTATTCTTCCTGTTGCTTTAAAAACTAAAGAAAATAACAACAAAAAATTCATTTTGGCTGTCTATTAAAATATGCACTTTGACACGCGTTACAGTTTTGAATGGTTTGTTCGCCAGCTAAAGTCCAGCACGTATCACGCGCGGTTGGTTGACAGTTATCGATTTTAGCTGGTTTGTTTAACTATGGCGTTTTTTGGCGTTTCCGGCGTTCTGGAGCTAATGTTTTAGTGGTGAATAACCCACAGGCACTACACCTGTCACCAACCGATCACCCCCCCGCACGTGTGTGGCTCTTTACGATGGCAATTTTGGGTGTTGCCGTGTGTCGATTTCTCTCCGAGATATCTATGCGTCACCCGAAAATCCAGATTATTACCGTGCTCAAGGGTAAATAACAAGTTGCTCCGTGTTTTGGTTGTAGAGAGAGACGACTTATGCGGTTTCCAGGAGTCAGCTGAAATGGGACATCAAATCTCCACACAACCCAAACATCATCCATCCCGATGGACTCAGGTACCTTCTCAGGTTCGACTGACTCGGTCAATTTACAAAACCGTTGCACACATCCACCAATGAATTCGCATTTTAGATGGCAGTGTCTGGAATTTGGGCAAGCGTGTAAAATTTTAGTGCACAATCGATTGAGTGCAATCTACGACAAAATTTTTTGTAAACTGGAGCTTGTTCTCCGGGTTTGTTATTTAACTTGGTGACAACTACAATTCAGCACCGTCAATGGTTTGAAGGTATTTGTGAAGTAAAAAAAATCAACACTTATCTTTAACTAAATCCTGCCGCAGTTGTTTAAATTTGTGTCCATTTTAAGCACAGCGGGAATCCAAATTTTGCATTCAGCTCGTGCCAAAAGTGTTGTGTCTTGCAAAAAGTAACACTTAAATGGTTTAAGCTTCGAGGTGATTATTCACGAGGATGCGTTGGGTTCGGTTTGTTTTTGTTCCTTAAACTTCTCCCCGCCACATTCAAAAAAGCGGCAGATTTGAAAAGTCCGGTTTGGCGGTCGGAACATGTACAAGGCCATAATCGTTTTTGGTATCTTTCTGTAAAATGTTAATCGGAAAATTGTGTACAATTAAAAAAAGGAGTAGATTCAACTCAAATGGGTTAGGCAAGCTCTGTTGCTATGACAACACGAGTTCTTCCGGGTTTAAGGGGTTGGACAAATTGCCACCGTTTGTTTTATCGATATTCGGGTCATTCATTCGCACAAATGCCACCTGTATTCTCTTTAACATAAGTACCTGGGAAGGAAAAAAGTGAGAGAGGGACAGTCAACAACAAAATTACGATTTGTGATAAAAATCACCCTGTTTTATTAATATTAGAACACCAAACAGGAAGATGTAAATGTCATTGGACTAAACGCATGTTTTGTTATACACGGACCTGATATCTGGTTCAGTCCGTGATGCCCGAATAAATCTCCAAACACAGTTAACGGTAATTTGAAATTGCCGAGCTACGTGTTTAGTCAAGTGTGATTTCCCGTGTTTAAAATTTAGTGTGAAAGAGAGAACAGTCCAGCTCAAGTCACCAACGCGAGGGCAACGGTTGCCAATAGTAACCTTGTGCGGCGACCTGCGCCTCCACCTCCGCCGCCGCCTCCACCCCCACCGCCGCCACCTGTGAACACTGCTCAAAAAACACCCGATCCTGCGATAGCCACGACCACGACCACCACCACCTCCACGTCAGCCACAGAGTCGTCCACTGCACTGCCTTCTACAGCATCGTTAACGATGAATTTGTCAAACGGTGACGATCCTGCACAAGTTCTCGTCCGGTAGGCTTGCATTTGAGCGCATTCTACCTGAAACCACAGCAAATTGTCGAATACTACCAGCTATTTGATCTAAATGGAAGCGTTGACCCAGTGTTCGGATTCACTGGCCCTATTTGAAGTGGACGTGTCAACCACTTTGAACGTATATTGCGCATTGAGTCACAGGAAGGCCTGCTTGAAACGTCGCTATTTTTAACCACGGCGTTTCGAATCACGATCATATAAATTACCTTTTTACCAAATCAGGCAAAAAATTCACCCACAAGCCAACTGATATCGCGAAATTGATGGCGTGTGCAATGACATAAATCCCTTGTGGAACGCACTGAAAACCACCTGCATTTTTCCCCTTTCGAGAATCGGAAAATGGTAGGTCAAAAAGTCGCCTTCAACGCACGCGAAGGCAGCCATATCTCTCTCTCTCTCTCCCTCGCTCTGACTCCCTTTGAGCGCAGTTGTGTTGGCTTTTTTTTGAAAAAAACTGTAGGTGTAAAATGCAGAGAAGCAAATTGCAAGGAGAGCCGATTGTTGTCGCTACACAGCCGTAGTTGTTTGTGTTGAAAATGCCCCTTTAAAAGCAAGTTAGGACTACGACGGAAGGCAGCAATTCAAAAAAAACCAATGCTGGCAAAAGGAACAGTTTTTTGGCTTTTGCAAATCGTGACGGATCTTGAGGCAACCCGCTTCCGAACCATCGTGCATCTGCGATATCACCAGATGTGCGGCGTGCCACGTGTTACCCTCCATTCTGTACCCGGGGGAACATGGCCACTGACCTCAGATGGGTGCAAATTTCGCTAGCCCCCCCCTCCCAGCGCGTAACCAATAGCAACACTGAGAAGGCGGCAACGAAGTATGCAGAACCCGTTGGAGAAGCTGACTCAACTCCGCGACCTCGCTTATACTAACCCTCTCACAATAATTATTTCAAGTTACACCAAGCATTCGCTTTCCACACAAAACCAAAAGCAGCGATCTTTTCCCATTGGTCGCATCTCGCTTGCAGATGCAATGGTGTACTCTAGCCCACGCAAGGACGCTATGAGGTTAAAGTATAATGTGTACGGTGTGACTATGGACCTTTGATACAAGATCAGCTATCGCGTAGGTGTGCTGTAGGCCACAATTGTTTCGTAAATCAAGTGTCGCCGGTGTGGTCAAAATGCGCACGATTTAGAAGCCCACTTCTTGATAACTTGAACCTCGATTTGGTCCATAATCTGTATTTTTTATTATTGTATATGATTTGCTTTTTGTCACAAACTATCATGGGTGTTCGTATCTCACATGTTCCGTCAATGTAATTTTTATAATGCAACGTAGACTAGAAGTCGAGAAGAATTTGAAATGATCCAAAAAATTGAATTGGCGGTCTTTGGGTGCGCTAGATCTTTCAAACAACGAATGACGACTCAAAAATAAAGCACTGGGAAATAGTTATAGGCGGAAGACGAAAAAGCCAAGAGAATTTGGAAACGTTTTCTTGTGTGTTCTCATTTTAGACCATCGCCGGCTGCAATCCCCGCTGCACTGTCCTCGTTTACCCAAACTCCGGCAGTTCCGCCTTGTACAGACTCCACAGTAAGCTAAAATGCCGCCTCTTTTAGCGCAACCTGATCTCGCGATGGTTGCATACTTATTTACACGTTGTATTCTTGATCAAAGTGCCAGATATATGCTTAATTGGAACACTGAGTTGCCTAATTGCCGGATTGTGGTGATGTGATGATTGATTTTTGTTTCGTTGACTTAAATGCAAGCTGAGCAAGATTCCACCAAATTTTATGCCGCGATATCTGATTGGCATGGGTCAAGGTCATTTACAGCACCGATCGCTGAAAGCCGATGCTCACTGTTCGTCAAAATATCGATTAGTCCTGACCTGTTATTGAACTATTTCGCGATTTTTTCCATTAATTTTCAAAATAATTGATTTTTTTTGCTCCGGCATAACCAATCAAATTTCAGTAAAATCACTTTAAATTAGCAGGAAAAGTGCCATTGGTTAGGCTTCCCGTTCATATAAAAACAAAAAAAAACAACTTTGCAAAATTACATGAACATGTTAATTTTAATTGGTTAACTGCAAACATGTGACGTCTTCGAAAAGATTTCAGTAGTGTTTCAAATTTCCTTGTTCTTAAACACTATGAACGTGATTTTGTATAATTTATAATCTCGCCATAAACATTCCTACAAAATTTATGAAATTAACGGCGTTTTCAAAATCTAAATTAGCATATTCTCCAATATCAATCGCCTTTGGGCTTCACTTCGTGGGTTTTATTTCAATCTGTGCCAAACAACACTTATTCTTTTCGTTCAGACCTTCAATCCCGACGAGTCGAGCCCTCTGCAACGATTTCGAGCCTCAGTTGCATCACTCCCCTCCACTTCCATGCTGGACGATGCCACCAGATACGCGCCACTTTCGAGGATTCCAGAAGAAGAAGGCTACGACAGTCAGAGCACTTCCAACGACGCCGACACTGTCGACCGGCACGGCGCAGTGGACTGCTGCAACCGGCGATCCCCAGTCTACGACGACACCTCGCAGGCCTCCACCGTGATCCAACCGCTTCAGGCGCCGTGCGCACCACCGCCTCACTCGTCGCCGTCGTCGTCAGCCGCCAGCACCACCTTTCCACTCTCCTCCTCCCAGCCAACTCCCTCTTCGCTGCGATCGTCACCGATCATTTCGACGGACTTCGAAGAGGAAGCCGACGATCGACCTCAAGGCCTTGTTTCAATTCCAGATCCAACTAAGCACTTGTTCGGACCCACAGGAATGGGGATTGGTCAACGGTAGGTGAACTCACAGAGTCTCTGAAGGGCGCAGCCATGTTTATGCCCCCACCGCCAATCATCTTTTGCACACTCATGAATGAATTTTAACGGGATTTCAAATTCCCATGGCAACAGCAATACTGCCGCTAAGATAGCACCTGCGCTAGGAAGAAGAAAGCTCGATGAAATTAATAAAAAACGACTTTAACTAAAGGCGGTGGTTTTTAGGAAAGCGGCAAACGAAAGATTAGTTAAAGTGCCAGCCAATCAAACACCAGCGGGGGATTCAGTTGGTTAATGAGTTGGACTTTGCCAGAAGTGTGTAAAGTTAACTTGCGTTAAAATCGAGCGCATCGTTTTTGTTGTTGTTTTATGTGAGAAATTTAATAAAAACGCTGGCTTTGAGTGGGTAGCGAGTACTTTGGGGCAAAATGCCCTGTCGAAGTGTGAGTTTTTAGTGTTGAAAAATCTGGCAACACGTAAACAACCATGTCTCCTAGTTAAAATCATCGATTGTGGGCGATTTTAATTGAAATCATCATTGTAGGATTATTATAAAACGCAGATTTTAACATTTAAATCAACAACCAAGTTTGCTGCTCCAAACACACACGCAAGTACCGATTTTTGACCAACGCCAGACAATCAGATTCAGATCAATCAAATTCACCACACCGAAATTTTCGGATGGAACACAATTTTCGTTAATTTATTGCCTCTAGAAATAGCTAACAAAGCTGTTTGGATATAAAGGGACAAATACGCTAATACGTACTAAGAGTTAACAGCATCCGGGCTAAGGTCCCGTGATTCGTCAGCCAAGGTCACGACATCGACCAATCACAATACAAAGTCTGGATATTCCTCGTTTTATTGGTTGGCGGGCAGACTCTACACCCTCGTTCACCACACATTCTCATGGGCATTTTGCAGTTGATCGCTTTCCCAAACATGCTGTAATTTTGCACACACATTCACAACGGTTTTTGGAATTTGTCGATCAAAATTTGTCGTTGAAAGCTTCTTAAATCATAAAGGTTCTAAATTCTGCAAAAAAAGCTCTCGAAAATTCAACATTTTTCTGATTTTTTTGACTCAAACGTAGGGGGTACTTTTTTCTGTTTTTGCATCCGAATGTTAATTATTAAATTCTCAACAACATCAAATCGCTTTGATGTGTTGTTTGATGTCTTTGATGTTGTTTTGTGCAAAAACCCAAACTGCACGTAAATATTTTCTTTTTTCCGTTGTTTCAGTTTTGCGTAAATACAATGAATGAGAAGTTGTGGAATGGGTTTTTTAAGCTGATTATCATGTGTTCCAGATTTCAAGGTCACTTTTACGAACTCGCGGTTTTTTTGATTGATTAGAAAATGGCAGAACGATGTGTCTCAATCAGACATAGATTAATGAGATGCCTGCCCGAGACGGCATGAGTGGTGGCCACAGAAGGGCTCTTGTCAACTCCGCAATCCCTGCATTATTAATCTTGCAAAGGAAGACTGTGTAAGGAAGGACTGAATGACACTGGATACGCATGAAGTGAACTTGTGGGCAAGATGTCAAATCTGTCAATTTTAGCCCTCTTTACACATTAGCCAATTAGAAACCCAGAAGTGACTGCAATCTGCGCTGTGTCGGGCTTGAAGAATAACTAAAAATGCACACACTCGGATATTTCTATTACTCACGATCCAATCAGAGTTCACTCTTGCGTTGGCGGGTGATTTAAAATAGTTTCTAGAAATGGTGTCAACTGATAAGCACAATCTCACCGCAGGTGAAGTTTTTTGCCATATTTAGACTCCACACCGGAAAAGCGTTTACTCTTGCCGACAAAGTGTTTTGTGCTGAATGAGTGCAACGTTCTGTGCGGTAACTTTGAAACGTCATTTTCTACAAAAATCTGATTGGCCAGCGTTGGTCAAAAATCGATGTTCGCGTGTGCGTTTCAAGCAGCAGACGTGGGTGATGATTTGAACATGACAGCCTGCGTTTTTGTCATGCTCGTACAATGATCATTTCAATCAAAAGCACCCACAATTTGGTGCTTTTAACTTGGAGACATGGTTGTTTATGTGTTGCCGGATTTTTCGACGCTTGAAACTCCGATTTCGACACGGTATTTTGCATCAATGTACTAACTACCAATTCAAACCCCACGTTTAATAGAACAATTATATAGTTTTTTTTCGATTGTTCACATGTTATTGCGTTATTACAAAACACAGTGGATGCTCATTGGGGAAGTCTTATGTAAATTAGTTCTGATATGAAAATTTTGACCACTCAGAACGCATTGAAATGCGTATACCCCAAGTGCACATCGTGTTTATTACATCAGTGAAATTTTTAAACCGTTTACGTCGCAATCCTGGCTCGACTGCGTGATTTTGGTGTCATCAAATTCCGGCGTCTTTCGTGGTGTATTTCTAAGTCAGTTTTCTTTCTTAAAATCATGTTGTAATGCTTACAAAACGTGCATTTTGAATTAATGCAATTGGACAGAACTACCTTTTCCAAATTTCAAATATTTTCCGTAAACTCTGAACGCGAGATGCTCACACATTTGTTTAAACGCGTTAAATTGTGGCCGTACACCAGAACACATGCCCAATCGTGTGCGTAGAGTTTTGGCGACCTGTGCGTCGGACAGCTAGCTATTGTCGCAAATAAAATTGCTCTCTCAACTTGCAAAGGTGCTTTGTTTCGATTCAACAGGGAAAAAAAACACGACTTGCTGCCTAAAATAGAAAGGGCAATTTTTTTAACTCTTCCAATTATTCGCCGCGTGTGGGAGCTTTCTCTAGTGCGCATTCTGCGTCCTCTTTTTCTTCATTAATAATTTCTCACACATATCAGCAGAAAGAGAGTCGCAACACCTCCGCTGATCGCTCAAAAGCAGCAATCGTGCAACTCCAAATATGCCAAGCTCAGTGGGTTGTAATCGATACATTTGAATTCAAAATTTGAGTCAAATAATCGAACCTCAATAAGATTCGGCTGTGTTTTGACTGAGTACAACTCAGGCGATCGATAGCTTTTTGTTGCAACCAGAGACAACCAATCATATCGCTGGAACTAAATATCCCACACACCTGGTCAACTGGCCACTCCAAATGGTGGCAGTTTGTTGATCGTTGTCGCCTTGGCATCCTTGCCAGGATCAAGTTGATGTTCGTTTTCCCACTCTGGTGAGTTTTTGTGGAGTTCGTCTTGTTCTTAGTGCTTTGAAATCAAATCAACCTTGTCCCTGCTTGAAAAATCCTCCACGGAACCGGATTGGTTCGCTCTCAGAATTTGGTTTTTTTCTCGACACAGGCACTTGGCAAATTTGTTTCATGTGGAATTTCAAAGAGATGCGCTACGCATATGTCTCTCTGAGGTCCAGACACTAGATCTTCATAGCCACGAAAAACGCAATTTTCTTTCTGGCACCGAATGCTGCGGCGAATTTCCTTTAAAATCTCCTACCATCGAGTCGCATTGGATGTCTTTTTTGGTGCTTACTACTGCACTGGCATAACAGTAGTATGTTGCGGGGAAGACCTACCTGTTCGTCTTTGCGTTGGGTCCGATCGATAATCAGCTATTGGTCAAATAAATGGATTAGTCCAATCTCGATTTTGATTGGACAAAATCTGTGGTATCATCATCACCATCCAGCCGCTTGCGTCCCGAGTTAGCACAGTCCTGGGCTCTTGACATTTGATGTCATTTTGTTCAATTTTTTTTAATTTAAACCTGCAATATTCCACAAAATGCATTTCCACTCGTGTGCTGTTTACACATGTGGTGATTCAGCGTAATGTTAGATAAAACTAAGCGCACACGCCATCACACGTGGCATTACGAATGCCAATTTTAATGTCGAGCCACCTTCACCCTACTGATGGTCACTATTTCACATCGCGGATCTACTCAAACGCAACTCAAACCACACACGTTTTTTCCCATCGCCCAAACAATTGACCTGTTTCCGACCCACACAATGACTTGCGGTTGAATATTCGCATGAAAATACGCCAACATGAGGCAAGAAAAGGGTGTTTGTTTTTGCCGTAGCAAACAAAATTCACCCGCGTGTATATAAGCAGTCTCGCAAATTGGGCTTGGTGATTAATGATATACGGATGACGGATGAGATTTGCTGGCGTCAAAACAGTTTGGTTTAGGGCTAATCCCGCGCGTTATTTGAATCCGGACTGAATTAACTGCTTTTGCCTGCCACTTGTCTTCTCACGGTTGGTTGAAATTTGAAACGAACTTTGCTTGTTTCATATCAAAGGCTTGATTACCAGACAAATCGTTCGCCACAGTCTTATGCGTCGCTCGTAAATTAGTAAATATTTGACTGGGTTACGTTCACTAAAAAGCACACGTTAAAAATCGATTTTTTACTGTATCTTCTTTGTGATTGGTTGTTGTCCTGTGTTGTGAGTTTAGACAGGTCACGTTTGATTGGTGGAGGTAAAAGTTACGCTTTTAAGACCATTTTGTGTTTAAATAGTTCGGATTTCGTGGTGAGAATAAGTCAGATGGAGTTCGTGTTTCGTCGAAGATGGTCATGTCGATTTCTTTTCCTATAAAAAGGCTCTTGTAGAAAGGCATGTGACAGTAGTTGGGGCTTGTGGTGTGTTTAAATTTAGCCCTATTCGCGCGATTGTTTTTAAATCCAAAATCTGTGGTTGTCAGGGCTACAAGGTCTAAGCTACGTGGCACATAACGCATAGCATTCCATTCAGCCCTTCCATTGCCAAACATCTACCACCACCATTACCACCACCTTACTTACTATCTCCAAAACTGCAGAAGACTACAGTTCATGCTAAATCGAACGGTGGCAAACTACAATGTGGTTATAACGTACTAGTTAAAGTCTTACCATCATAGGCCAGGTTAACTACGCCATCTTACAATGAGACAACTTACAGTAGCTCTGTTGCCTGATTATTTAGGTGCTTTGCATGCGAAATTCCTTCCAAGGTGCGTGTTTTTTCAGGTTCTTGCCTCAAAAACAGACTGTCAAAATTAGAAAACAACTAACTTATCAGTTGGGATATCTCTGACACTCGTGGTTCGAATGCCAGTTTCCAGCCAAAAGCGCTGAAAAACAAGCCTTTTTCTGATTGTATGTGGCTTAAGCAGTAGTGATTAAGCACGTATTTTTCAGTAAGGCGTCTCAGATTTCGTTTGTTTGTTAAAAGCGCAAAATACCTGCAACGAACAAGGAGTCTTCTTAAAATGTAGCCAAAATCATCGCCTTTCGGAGTGCTGATAGCAACAGGTGAAATCTTTCAAAAAGCATGAAAATATGCGTTCAAGTTGGCGCCTTTTTCAAAAGTTAATATTTTCTTCCAATGGAAAATCGTACGGCATTACTGCTACATATAAAAATAAGCACTTTTTTGTGTTACACTTCGTAATCGTTCAAACTATTGCCAGGGTGAATCATAATGGGGTTTAGTAAGCCAGAAAGAAACAGCTGTGGTGTGTGCAATGTCTGCCAACGCAAGACTGCGAATTCCCAATCCTACATAGCCTTCAAATTGCACGCTCAGAGTTTAAGCCAATTAAAATCGGCTTTTTTTGACGCGGTGCATTCAAATGCGTGTGCTGGTCTAATGACCAGCTGTTTAAGCGCTATGAATAACCGACAACATTGTGGTGACAAGTGAGGTTCTTCCCTCCTGCAGTTTGTTTGTCGTGCCTAAATGTTACAAAATACCCACCTCTGACTGTGAACTGTGTAAATGGCTTTCGATAGTGTTTCTAATTATAGGGTTTTGATCCCCCCTGCAACGGCCAATGAAATAGAGTGCGTAGATAAGATGAGCGTGTAGGAATAGTTAAATAGGTGAAAGCCTAGTGGGTTTGGTGACTTGGAATATCCCACTTGAACGACTAGGTGTCTGTGGTTGCATTTCAAACATGACTACGCCCTATTATCATCGTCTTCCTTCTGGAGCATGCGTCCCATGTGTTCACGCTCAGGACCAATGAAATTGCGTGTAAGGCCTCAGCTGTGGACTCGCAGTTCCATCGTCCAATCAGCGATCGAACCTCCATCAGAGTCTTATCCGAGTGGCTGGTTTACCGATCAAAGTTATTTGAGCGAGAAACAATGTTGCTGGGCGCGAACTAGAAGTCTAATTCCGAGCTGTCATCGCACATCCACAGCATGTTTCAAAAAGTAATTTTGCAATTATTCGAAAGAGCATATGAAGGTCTTTTTCACATTAACTAGATCCAGCGACAGGCAAGTACCAAAGAAGGAGGTGACGACGAAGCGACAGCGGTTTCCTGCCAAGGAGAAGTTTTTCCACGACGCCAACGGTGGCGGTGCCCGAGGTCGTGTCAAGGACGACAGCAGCACGCCGTCTAGTGAGGCAAGCAATGGCCGGTGCGGGACGGCGAGCACCAAGGACCCACAAACCATCAACAGTTCCACTCCTGTGCCTTCGACCGACCAAGTAAGAGCATTCTTCTCTTGAAGGCCACCTGTTAACAGCATGAACGAAGCAGACTACTCCTTCCCAACTCGGATCAGTTCTTCAGTAGTCGACCTTGAGACTACCACTCACTAGAAGTCGATTAATGCCGCTGATTGGTTCATTAAAAATGCCGGATCAGTTATCAATAACCCAGGCCCCACTGAGGCTCCTGTACTAAAAAACAAACATCGCGCGATTTCTTCGTATTTCAGCCCAGTAGACCGGACGTGAAACAAATAATTAAAAAAAACACCAATGGGAGGCGTTAGAGTTGGAGGCATTTTTCATTGTGCCGCTAATTACGCGGACATCTGCCTAATTTGGTAGATAAGCGACTATGTTTCGTGGTGTGCGTGTTGGTGCGGTGCACAGACATTGCCGGTGGTAGGAAGTCGATGCAATTCATTTAAACAAAAGACTGACTAGTCGTTCTAGGCAAGTTAATCGCTTATTCGTTCTTTCGAATCTACTCTGTGGTTTTGCATTTGCAACCTAAAATTGGCAGGATAGATCTGTTGATGCTGCGAAGGTAGTTGCTTTTTAAAATTGTGTTTTTCGTTTTAAGGGGAAATTTGAAATTTTTCTTCAGTGCAAAAGTTTCGACTCATAATAAAAAAACGACTGATCTCACATCGGAATTTGAATTTTCTAATTTTTTTAAACCAAAATTGACGGGGTTGTGAATTGGGTCCATGACTGTGACCTTGAACAGACCAATCCTGAAAGGTACAGGTGGAGAAGCCATTGGAAGATTTACAGGACTCATTTAATCAATATTCTCAAATCACATTGTCGTCTTCGAATTCTGCGCCTGCATCTTTCTTTCACCTTCACTGAACTTGAAAAATTTGTATCAAAATCGGCTGTATTTTCAACCCACCAATAAGGAGCCAGTCATCACTGGACCAATCGGAACTGGCAAATTAACCTCGAGGTTGACCAATCACCAGCGCACACGTGCAACTTGCCACGGAAACTAAGGCTTTTGTTCATTTTATCCCTAAATGGGAATTTTGAGTATTTACTACTTTCGCATTTTCAACAATCGCCATGACAATGCTTCCCACTATTGTTGGAAGTTTATTCGAAAATCCAGCCTATTCACAGGTGACTAATCTACAACGAAATAATTTTGTTTAAATTGACGTCTGCAATTCGATGGATGTTTTTCTTGCAGTCTCAAATTAATTAAATTCTTTTGAACCAGGTTAGATGTTGCTTTCCGCACCAGTCATTTGTTTCGTGTGGCAGTCAATCAGAAGTTCTTTGACGAGAAACCAGGTTTTCGACTAGCATAGATCACATCGGCAGTGAGAGTCGCGTTCCGCGTTACCAAGACAACGCTTTTGCCGGTACAATGAATGTCATTGCCAAGCATAGGCACAATTCAGAACTGCGGATGAATAATCCCCTTGAAAAAGTCGTCTACTGGACAGTTAATCTTTCAATCATAATCTGTTCCGAATCAGCCACAAAGATGAACTTCTACAAACAAAATAGGTTTCAAATAAGATGTGTCGGGATTGAAGGAATCAAATGACTACGCGATAGGTCAGGTTTTTACCCAGGCTTGGTATGGAAGGGTAGAACTCACGCCAAATTGAATGAGGCATTTGAAATGAAATCGGGCACACAAGATCCCACCTACCGACGACACCGATTCGACGCTCTGGACTACATGATTTTCTGGAGGTGCTACTTCAAACTTTGTGCTGATAGCCTACTAATAAAGCCTGTAGGTCTTATCTGAGAAAATGACCACTTAAGCCTGGTATCCATTATGTCGCTGAAACTGCCTGTTTTCGCCTAACCGCCGTTCACTCATGGCTATCGTTTGCAGGGTTTGGTGTCTTCGGATCCGCCGACCGCCAGACGCGAAGCCTCCATCTGGTTCCTGCGTGATCCACCCAATGAGAATGCTGCGCATCGTCCAGCCGCGGGTTTCACGCCTGCGGCGTCCAGCGTCGTCTTGGCGGAGACCCCTGGTGCCTTCACGGACCTCCGAAAACCTCGGCCACCTCCTCCTCCCGTAACCATGGCAACCGCGTCTGCTGCTTCTAATCCCGTGGTTGGCATCGCTCATCCGGCACCACCGCCACCTCCCAAGCGATCCCCTCAAACGGTCCTTACTGGGTGAGCCTGAACTTGAACATGATTGGCTGAAATTTCTGAGTCTGGCTCTCGCCTCTGGTTGATTTAGCCAATGGTGATGTGGCAACGTGTCAGCACTGAATGTGTATGGCCGTAATGTTTAAAGAAAGTGTGCTATCGTTAAGTGTAAATTTAACCTCATCATTCCATTCTCAAACTACTGTTTTCAAACCATTTCAACACACAATATTTAATTCAGATAAGCCTCACGGAAACTGGTTACACGTTAGTCATTCTGCCAGATATTGACCACAAGTTTTAGTTGTACGTAAATCCGTTCATTGTTTAAATTGGCATGTTTAAAAAACGCGCACCGCACGATTTGAGCAGGTCGAAAGAAAACAACAAGATTTTTTTCCAACTCGATTGTGTGTCGTTTGTTAGCATTTAACACAATAGCTGCATCACGCAAACCCCAAAACAATGAAAGAAACAGAAATTGGAAAATGCGCATGACTTTTTATTTCACAATCGGACTGTTGTTTTAACGCATCAATAATTTCATATCTGAGCAACGTGCGAAACCGACCACGGCGCGGTAATTAATCGGGAACACGAACGAATGTGGTTCAATTTACCGCGATTTAAATTTAAACCAATCCATTGCAAGAGAGCTTGTGAACAGTATTTAGTAGTTAGAAAAGTGATTTTGGAACATTACCAGCAACTTGACTGAGATTAACGTTCACAGAGGTAACCAATCACAGTGCAATGTGGTGAAATTACTTTTGCATGCGTGTTTGGGCAAATGTAAGGGTAGCCAATTTTGCCTCGTCGGGTAATTAGGTTAAAGAGAGCAAATTAAATTACGTTGCCAGTGGTTGCTTTCTCGAATCTGTATTTTCCCACAGCCGCGCATTACGATTGGTCGGTGTGGTTACTCGGCGACGGAAATCAAGTGAAGCAAACACGCATACCTAGACTTCTGATTCAGGTTCTTGAAGATCCTCAGTGTGATATCTGCTGTTTCCTATGGCCGACTTTGTGCCTGGCTTGTGTTGAGAAAAAGTTAAAGAAATTTGTTTCTCCAATCTGATTGGCTGTCGTTGTAGTTGAAGAGCCAATTATTGTGCAGACTATTCCGCGGGGATTAGGGAGATGGTCGGGGCGAAACCTGTTTACCCCTGAGCTATTCTTAATCTTGTTTTATCTACAGTGGACGCGGTTTTTCTCAGAATTAACCTTATCTTCTTATGATTGTTCACTTAGTTAACCAATGAGGTCTTGCATATTTAGCAAAGTGTAATTTAAACAAACCGTTGAAATGTATGAATGTCACGTAATATCTTGACCTGATTTGGAAGTTTTAGAATAAAGAATTTCCTAACGTTGTCAAGGTGATTACTTAGACGACAGAGTGCTTGTAAGTTCTCTTCCGGTCTTCCAATTGGATCCTCTTGTGTTGGAACAGACAGTCAACGCAAGCAACTAACCAATCAGGAAACGAGTTTGCTGCCGTCTTTCAGTGCATCGTTTGATGCAGGCAAAAACTTGAGAATCACGCATCTCTGTCCCATCGTAAATCACGTTTAACGTGTCACTTGCAGCAATTTCTTCACTGTTTTTTAAATTCCTAAGATCACGTGAGGTTTATTAATCACCACGAAGGATGTGAAATATGAGGGGCTGGGGAGGTCAAAATTTACTTTCGTCCACAACTCACTTAATCATTTAATGATTAATAATAATTGATTAGCAGGTTCATGGGAAAGGGAAAATTTATCATCAAAATGCAGTTCAAATCCCTTGCATGCGTAGAAAGAGTGAAAAAAGTACACAACAAGATGCGCATTATCGGTTGCTTCACTGCGTACAGGTGTTGGTAGAGTAATTGCCACCAGAAACCAATGAAAAGAAAGGGTGAGTCCTGGCGTCCAATCAGCTTGCAATTCGCCTGTTCAAACACGGATTTTGTTTTCTTGTTCCAGTGTAAGTAGAGGCCTGGTACATTACACCACGGCTAGTATTTAGGATCGAACATCTATGAAAATTCGTGGAATCGGAAATCAATAATTATAAAGTTTGGTGATTGGTGAAGCTGGGAGGTCAATTTGTCCTCTCTCGGAACTTTCACTTTTTCACTTTACACCAAATTTCCGAACTCTTGTCGCCAATGCTATGCGAGAAGCATTGAAGTGCGGTTGGTTAGGGAAAATTTGGCGCTTCTACCTAGTAAAAGTACTAAAAGCGCCTTTTAAAAATAGTGATTAGCGATTTTGCCTTTTTGCAGCAAACCCGATGACAGCAAACCGGCACCAAAGCCTGCTCCCCCTCCACCTGTAACCCGACCACCGACGAAGGAGGCGTCCGTAGTTTCGCCAGTTCCACGCAACACGACGCTCGCCAATGACCACGACGACGACGATCAAGAGGCCTCAATTCATCACATGACCGACCTCCTCACGCGGAAACACGCCTCGGACAGTGTGCGTGAGTACCTCCTCTCGGCGGCCGTGGAGATGGAACACGAGCGCGAGCGACGCCTTCAGGCCGCCGCCGTGAACGTGGTGGCATTTCGGAGGCGCGTTCCTGCGGTTCAAGGGCACCCCCTGTTCGAAGTTTGCGGGCCTGGAAGTAGGCCGGTGCAGACCGCCACCTCTCCACCTGGACCTGACAGACCGACCTCTGCGATCCTCTCGAAGGTCCTACCTGCTGAGGAGGAGATATCGATTAGGCTTGTCAAAGGTACCTCTCTGTTTTAGCATTTTGGCGCCAACCGAACGTAAAAAATCAATACTTTTCAGACTGAAAATGCCTTTTTGTTTAAATCATCCTTGGTCTTAAGCCACAAGTAACAATCTTGTGTATCGTTTGGAACACATAAAAAAACACCCTTAATATTTTGTTGACTCCGAAAACGTTGATTTATCTTATCTCGATCTTCTGACTTGCATTAAGTCCCAATGACCTGTCTCATCTTTATCAGATAATGTCTGTCAAAATTGACATCCGTTAAAATTTAAATTTCCAATTTCTTTCTGTAAATTGTTCACATAAACTAATGAGAATAAGGCGTTTTGGCTGTGGAATGGTAAAATCGGAAGAATGTATACGGGCACTTATTACCAGCATCGAATCCTGCGTTGACGTGGCGCTACGCTGATTGGCTTATTTGAATTGGTCTCTGAGCTGTCATGGATTTGATTGGCCGAGCTGGCGTGAGAAGTGTTTAGTTTGGTAAAAGTGCTGCCAATTTGTTGTTATCCCAATGCAATTTGATTAAATGCTGATTATAATCCCCAGGTTATAGCTTTGCTGCTTAGATGTTGAACAAGATACACCGCCCTGTCGTCAACCGACCTAAATTAAGCACGGGGGTCTCTACGGTTCGAGTAACTCCTTCGCATACTCCTGCGTCAAATATCAGACTGAAAGGGTCGTATTATTGATATCAGATCAGGCATTGCAATCTATTTGTGGAATACAAAAGTCCTTTATTGTGAGTCTACTGATTGGTGGCTTCGAACCAATCAGATCACTCAGAAGAAATGTGTATTTCAATAGCTATTTACCAAACTTTGCCAAAGTAAAAGTACATCGGAGTATTGAGAAGCAAGCGTGTCGAGGTCAGAAAAACCCATTTTGGCTAGTGAAAGACTTATTTAAGTGCGAAAAAAGGGGCCAATAGTGGTACCTCTGATGTTTAATTTCACGCAAGTTATTTGTATCGCAACCGGAACCAATACTTCAATTAATTACCTGAATAGAATTCGATGAATAGACAGTGTTGGTGGCAGTTGTAAGGATTATCGATTTTCCTCACACCGACAACTTAGCATGTGTGCGTGTGAAAGCCAATCATCGTAGGCGGACTCTCATAAGTGATTGGCTACAATCGTAGCTTTGAAAAAGTTTTATTGGAAGATAACTGCATTGATAAACCGTGGCAGCACTTTTGTTCTCCTGTTCATTTTAGCTGCTGCTGGTTTGGGCTTCAGTCTGACAACCAGGGAGGTGTTTTTAGGCGCCTATCAAACTCACACCTCACCGCTGAAGCAGCAGCAGCAGACGTCTGGCACCAAGCCAAAAGCCGTCCACCTCACGCCAATCTACGGCCGAGCTGTCTGTGTCAAGAGCATCATCCCGGGTGGCGTCGCTCTGAAAGATGGCTCCCTTCGTGTTGGCGATCGACTTTTAAAGGTGCATCATCGATTTGTCTATTGGTTAATTCCCCCTGTGGAAAGAAATCATTGGTCCTCAAAAGATCCCGTGTCACACCTAAACGTGATTTGAATGTGTTCAGGTTGACAGAAAGGACGTATCGACGAAATCGCAAGCGCAGATTGTCGCCCTGCTGCGAGTGAAGCCCGTCGGGTCAGAGGTCGAGTTGGTGGTTCGACGACCGCGGTGGGTGACCGCGGCGGTCAAGAATGAACCATCGTTCGAGCCAGCCTATCGGACGGTCGGACTAACTTCGAACCCTGGCGGTGGATGTGCGTGCATGTCGCCTCACTGCTCTGCGGCCGCCAGCGAATACGGCGTGCTCAAACCACCGATGACCAACCGAATGGGTAGCCTTGACGACTCGCATCTGGGAACCAATACAGAGGTGTGTTTAGTTTCTCAAGGTCATCTGATGCTCACAACCGAAACTGCGGTAAATTTGCAAGACTCCTCAGGTCTTACTCTGGATAAATTAACTGCATATGACATCTTATACATTTTCAGTGGTGATGTTGTTGGGTGTGGTTCTAGAAATAAAATGGTTGCACGTTAAACTAAGATCGCGGGCACAGATTTAGTGGTTGTGGTGGAAAATCGATAACCGCCACTCGCGCACGCGCGCTACTTGAAAACTTCGAATTTTGAAGTTCAAAATCGATTGGTTAAAGACGTCGAAGTAAATTTAGAACAGCCAATCAATTTGCTTCTAACTGTGAAGTAATTATTTAATCGCTCCCTCAAGACATTGAATGCTTACTTCTAGCTTAAAGGCTTAATTGCATTACGGTGTCATGCTTTACTTAACGCGGCTCGTGCAATTCAGTTTGACAATGGGTTGCATTATGTACATTTTCTAAAATAGAATTGTTTTCTTTGTCTCGCTTAAATTGTCCTAACTTTACGCTTGACAAGTTACTCCCTGGTAACGAAAATTGCCAGCTTACTTTAGTTAACGGCAAAATGTTTAAACTAAGGCAATTTTAAATGTGTCAATTTAAACAAAGCTAAGACATCCGTTTGTCTGGCATGTGTTTGGTGAGACATTTTGTGAATTGTTCTTTGTGCTAAAGTAAGACATTCCTTCTCATTCTGTCCACAGCGGTTTGAACGTTGTGTCTACCTCAAGCTGGACATTCCTCTCCTACCAGTGGAACAACCTCAGCCGCTGCCTTTGCCAGATGGCGGCGGGGGCGGCGGCTGCGGTGACCTTGAGGCATCAGCTGCCACGACGATCCGCAACCGCCTCGCCACGATGCGACTGGGAGTGAGTGTCCGCGAGGACTTCCCTGACTGGTGCCCCAACACCCTCACAACCAGCGGCATTTTCGTCAAGGGCATTATTGAGGGAGGCGCCGCGCATGCAGTAAGATCTCTGTCATTTCAGTTCATTTTCCGACTCAACTGAATTGCCCTGGGTTCCGCGTACAAGTTGCTATTACAAGCTAGGATGATTTGGTCTGCTGTCATGCCATTGGCTTTATCCAATCTAATCACTGATTGGTTCTGCAGTCATGGATGATGGAATTGGCTGGCTAGGTTCGTGCCAAACCAATGGTTATTTAGCAATGCCAATTCCAATCACTGTGTGTAGTATTAGTCTGTTGAATTATTTCCTTATAATGAAATGCAAATGGCAGCGGGTGTTTTCTTGCAGGACGGCCGCTTACGAGTTGGAGATGAGATCTTGGAGGTGAATGGCTTCTCCCTAGTGAACGTTCCCAATCCCCTCACCCTGCTCAGGGCGGTGCTCAAGCAGATCTCCTCCTGCACCAGTAGAACTCCCCCAATAAACTGTGTCAGCGATGTCTCAACTTCAACGCCGAACGCCGGATATCCCATCGTTCGCCTGCTCATTGCCCGGCGCATTCGACATCGACGATCTGCGTCCGGACACACAGTAAGCACTGGTGTCGTCATCACCGGCGAGCCTGTTGCCGTTCGTCGAATTTTCGCAGCCATAGACCGTATTGGCTATCTGGTGGGGGCTGGTGGTGCTCTCCGAATGAGGGTTTAGCAAATTCTGACAGGTCACCAAGCATGTGTGCCTTCGTACAAGTCGATTTATCCGCCATCTTCAATCATAGTCGCTCAATCAAGATTCAATAGCTGTTTGGTTGCTAGGTTTGCTTAAAATAAACAACAAGCTTGAAATTATGCAAAAAGTCGATAGCAGGATCTTGTTTTAGTGCACTTCCACTGTCAGTTCATCTGTGCGGGTTCATCACATATCAATTAATGACGGTACGTTTTGCATCCCTTCAGCACGAGGCAATCCTTCTACTAGGCGCAAAATCAAACTATCCAGAATGCTTTCTCTACTTTGGTTGTTTTACTGCACAGATGGGACGCATTTACGTGTAGATGCTAGCTGACACCACGCGGTATTCGTGCGCCAATCAGGTTTGGCCTAAAAACCAGACTCTCATTGGCTTAACTTATTGTTTTTTCTCTCTTTCCAACCACAGCCCTCCCCAAGCAGTCTGGAAGGGCGATAGAAGCCTTTCCAGGAAGGTATGTGGCTTTTCAGCGGCACATTTTTGGCTCGTAGTGACCCCGCCTTGTGCTTTGTGTTACGGAATGCTCTGGCAAACCCGCGATTGAGCCACAGTTGGTTTACAAGAGGTGCATCTCTAGGCGTATTAGGTAGCGACTGACCAATCAATAAACGTCTTAGCAGATTTCCACTCACCCGACGGTTTTGGTCTAAAGATAGCCCAGCAATGGCACCTCGTAGGTACTGAAATCTTGTAAGTAGTATCAGCAGTTCATCTTTCATGGGTGACATTTTTATTTCCTCCATCTGTACATCTGGAATGGCAGAACTGTTTAGATACTTTGACGTGGCTTTAAGTTGATCTCTAAGAAGATTCGAAGCATAACAATTTTCGAACTCCGGTGCATTTTATCGATCGTTTGGGGGACATTAACTTGCGAGTTGAACTTGTTTCGCCCACCCACTAAGTACCCCACCAATCGGCTGTTTTGTCCTCGCTTCCAATTTTGTCGTTCAAAAAAAGCGCACACCGACACACACACACACACACGTGGAGGTAGTTTGCAGGCGGTAGGTTCAACTAAATTATTCTTTCTCGTCTCTCACATGCATTTTCAGTAGTTTAGAGAAAGACGGCGTCAGCTACCAATTATTTGTTGAGTTGTTGGCAGCGTTGATAGTAGTGCCAAATGTTAGTGCCTGGATTAATCCCGACAACCTACGCCAACATTAATGTAAATGCTTAAGTTGAAAAGCTCGCGAATTCTTTCTATCGATCAAAACAACAAAAATCTATTCGGAATGACGACAATCGCGGGACTACTTCAAACACTCTCCACTGCACGTAATTTGAGTTTGTGTGCAAAGGACTCATTCCAGAGTCGATTTTGTTGGCATAAACGATCCACCACGGCGAAGGTGTTATCGCACAAATCTTGGTAAATTTGACTCACACTAGCAATGCACGTTCGCCCCAAATCTTCATTGTTCAGCTTCACGCGCTGTTCTTGTGATGCTGCTGCTGCTGCTGCCTTGTGCCCCGTAGACGACCCCTGTCTTCACGTGCTTTTGGCTGAAATCAATACAGGGATTTGCTTCCTAATGCTAGTGCGCTGTTTCATGTGTGCCAAGTTGAAGCACGCGGAATGTGTTAGCTGGGGCAAATGCTGGTTAGATGTCTGCTCCCCTTAGATCGGTTCCATCGCTGGAATTGACTCCTCCTCCTCCTCCATGGAAGCACCACACCTGGACATCCCAGACCAGCACCCGACGCTGCTACTTCAGCGTTGCCTGGACCTCCAACACCATCTTCAGTGTGCGTCCGAAGGCACCAACAGCAGTTCATCAGAGGCGCAGAGCTACTCGCTCCGGATCTCGGCGGACGTCCACACAACCACCACCGTCACCGCTGCCGTCGATGTCACTGACGACCTCCTGCCAGCACCGCCGCTGACAAGCGCTTCTAGTCCTGGAACGATGCGCAAGAAACGAGTTGCCCCAACCCCTCTTCCTCCCAACGCACCCCCTCCCTCCACCTCTCAGTCTTCATTCCCAGTAAAGCAGAATGCGTCTGAGCTGAAAAAGGCCTCGGAGGGCAAGCTGTGACGCCTTTGAATCGGGATTGGTGGGTTTGCCATAGTTAAAACCATGACATGCATTTTATGCTACTTACAAAACCTAGTACACAGTAGTGTTAAGTATCGGGCATATTTGGGTATTTGCACTGCAGGGCTTTGTGCATTTTAGCTCGCATGCAAGCGTCGTGACTGCGACAGCCTATGCAACATCGAAACAAGCAAACGACAGGTGAATACGCGTGTGATTTCTCCCAAACCCACGACAGAGCAGCAATCCCACATATTGTTTACATTCCTTGCACCATCATAGATGCCTCTACGCGGATTGCGTGTCCCCCCCCTGTTCTCCCTGTATAGTTCTGAGTTCAAGTCGCGAGAGACAGATAAAGACCCCTGGTTTTCCTTCTCGACAAGGACTAGTCAGATTATCCAATGGCAATGCAAACACGAACCCGATGTATTTTTTCTTGTTGGAATGTCCACAGACACGCACGCACACATACACAGAGAGAGATAGAGAAAGAAAGGCATACGCATGCGAAGTCCACCTTATCTTGAATGCTCAAACACCTTTTGACAGACCGTGTATTTGCATCTTGACCTTGAAATCTACACCCCCATCTCCTCAACCACTCGCACCCTCTTGACTGACTGAGTATTCCTAGAGAAGCCTGTTTGCCTCATTTGTATCGAGGATATCGTCACATCCTCTCTAATAAGTGCAATAAACACCTATCAGATCAATGCTCGATTGTGATCAAAATGCCTTCATTCTGATCTTCATTATTTGTCTGTGTTCTCTGCATTAGGCAATTTACAAAGCCGTCACGAAGAGAAATCTACAAACGGTAACTACGATCGATGCAACCCACCATAATGATCAAAACGTTTTCGCTATTGAGTGATTCGAAGGCGATGCGCAACCATACATGCCTATGCGTTAATCTTATTGGTGGAATTTCCTGGCATAGTTGATTGATGTCTTGTGCATGTGACAAAACTGTTGAAAGCGGACAAGATGTCAAAATGAACGAAACACCATTTACTAGCCTTCACCCACACATGAATTGGGTTCTTGGTACTAACAGATGATGAGATGAGCCTCCGCTGGTCGCCACACGGAACTTGGCAGTGTTTAATGTGATGCGAAATTGCGGTTGCTTTTGCGTCGGTGCCTCTCGTGTTGGACGCTGGAGTGGTGGCAGGGTCGGCGGCGGCGGTGTCGGATGCAGAGCCAGAACTACCAGTTGGTGAAGCGATGGTCGTGAGGCCGGAGAATACATCTGGTGCCTCCGTCTGTAGAGTGCGTAGATCCTTCTGAATTCGAGCCCCTGCCTGCAAAGGTTAGAAGACAATTACCAAAAAGTAAAGGACGAGCGCTACACCGAACACATCTAAATTAGGCGGTCGCTAGAAACCGCAAACAAGGAATTAGTTCGTAGAGCGAGTTTAGGCGAAAATGGAACACAGATGACTGTTACATTATAGGTGCACTTTAAGTTCAACAACTGAGATGAATGTGTGGAATAATCAAGCAAGCGATTTGTGTGCTCGGAGTGAAGAATTCAAGAGAACGCACTTTAAGTGAACTTTAAATGCAACACCCGAGATAAAAGTGTGAAATAATTAAACAACCGATGTGTGTGTGCACGGGGTCAAGCATTTAAGCGAACGCATCACTGCATGCGAGAGGTGTGGTAGGCATTGCCCACACACACACACACACACACAGGGTCACGTGAGAAATCACATTTAGCGGTTGCTTGTACCTTGCTTCAGGAGGGCTAGTTTGAGTAGTGGGATGTGACTAGAAACAATAAACACACGTTTGTGACACAAGGCTGTCTTTGTAGGGCGTTTTGACAATTCGACTCCTTACCCGCAATCTGGGTCCAGCAGAAGTGAAGAGATACACGGACACGAACCTCAAAAAGTCCTCGCTCAAATTCACTTTTGGAGAGAAACCGTCTGAAATCTCAAGCGGATGCATGGAGAACGCACCTCCTTGTGCAGTACCTGGTGCCGATGTCTCAAACGCGCAATAGGAGAGTTGGACGACTTCCTTGACCATCTAGCAGTGGTCAATAGAGAGTGGGAGAAACGTCAATTCAAATCAATGCTTGATGACCAGCTCAAAACTCTCATTCTCGGTTGCAGCCTTCGAATTTCTAAGTGCATGGATCTGCTACACCTGATTAATCAAAATCCCACCATGACACTGGACGACAAACACGATGAATGCTTTCACTGGAACAGCTCGCTGCATGACTCCAGTATGGTACAAGCCAGCAATGCATAGCCATTGGTCACAATCACGGATTCTGCTGATTATCCCAGTGCAACAGGTGTGGACAGCACCCCCACCTCCACACAAAGAAAAAGTCAAAATGCTACCCAGATAGCCCCAACATCGCATCCCTCAGCCTACACGTCACCTCCGAAGACACTCTACAGCAGCAGAGCATGCATACAACCGTCGTCATCATTGGCCATCCAGTTCGTCTGCAGCTAGTCACAGCTTCGGACGTTGCCATCATCTCGAAGAACCAAAGGCGCTCCATCGGGAGTCCTCCACACAGGGACTCCTCTCAAACGGCAATCTGTGTCTGCGACGGTGAAATTCACTTCCGCGACCAAATGCAATACTGTGTGTCCTTCCGCGGAACAACTTTCAGTGGCAAGTGTTATGTCGTCAACGCCAATCTGAACCTCCTTGGTCTGGATTGTTTCGAACAATTGGGTTTGGCCGATATCCCGATCAGCTCCATCTGCAATGCACTACACTGGTCGAACGCACCCTGCAAAAATACCGCGGACATCAGCAACCAGTGCACCACGGTTCCACCACACAATTCACCCTCCGTCTTTGGCCGGACGCTAAACCGGTCTTCCGTCTGAAAAGAACCGCTCCCGCACGCATCGTTACCACTGGTTGACGCTGAGTTAGAACATCTTGAACACGACAGCGTTCTAACCACGGCCTCGTTCACATCCTGGTTGACTCCAATCGTCGTGGTAAAGAAGGCAAACGGTTCAATCCGGATGTGTGCAGACTTTGCCACTGGTCTAACAGCAGATCTGGAAACACAACACTATCCTACACCAGCCCCAAAGGAGCTATTGACAATTCTGAGTGGTGGACTGATGACTAAATACTAACAACTAGAGGTCGCGCCTGAGTCGCATTCACTGCTCACCATCAACACCCATCGCGGTTCATTTCAATTAAACCGCCTTCAATTAGTACATATAGTATTTCATTTGCGTAGAGAAAATATGCATGTTCATATCAGCAAAAAGATTTACATAAATTCCGACAATTAAAGTAAAAATGACAAACTTGGGACCAGTAATTTATATTACTATCTCAATTCCATGTTGCCTACGGACATGGCTTCGAATATCAGCATGAACACAACTGAGTGTGAAGTTAACAAAGACAATTCAATCAGCCGCCACCAGCAATGACAATCTTGGCTGTTTTTGAAGGCGTACTTTCAAACATTTGTCAGCTCACACACTCACATTCAAGGCTGTGTTTGTGCTAAATTGTGAAGGATAAAATGAGTCAAATCCGAAAATTCCTGCAGAAAAATAATGACCGAGAAGAAAATTTATCCATAGGTAGAGGATAAGTTATATTTTCCTGCCTAAAGGTTAATTTTTGACCCAAAAGCAGTGTTTTAACTTGTATCGGTGAGCCGATCACTGTGAAAATGCCAACATTTCACTGACATCTCAATTAATAGATACAAATTACTGCTTTTGAGAAATTGTGATTTCGTCAAGATTGAGCAACGATTAGGCAGTAATTATTTTGATTTAAATAAGTACAGTGCATATGTGGTATTCACGCCCAAGTATCCACAGCAGACTTGTGACGTGAAACATTTCAAGCAACTACCTGTCAAATATGTCCTCAATATTTGACCAAAACTGTTTTTACCTGAGCGTAGATTTTTGACCTTTAAAGTGCAAAATTATGTGTTTAAAAAAGTATTGAGGAAAAAAATATTTGCACATGTGAACTAATGAGGTTATGTTGTTTTAATATGCCAAATTGAGGTTCGCGGTGTACGAGCTATAAGTACTGGTCGGTTTGATCGTTGCAGGAATGTGTCCAGGTGGCTGACATCGGTTACAGTTAAGGGCAGTGGAACAATACTTGAAGTATGACACAATATTCTTAATGAGTTTCTTAAGTTACGAGAATAGGCTGAGATCGAATTTGAATGTAACAGTCATCTGTGTTCCATTTTCGCCTAACCTCATTCTACACACTCTTTCCTAGGTTGTAGTCTCTAGCGATTGCCCAATTTAGGTGTATTCGGTTTAGTGCTCGTCTTCTACTATTTGGAAATTGTCTTCCAACCTTTGCAGGCAATGGCTCAAATTCAGGAGGATCTACGCACTCTAAAAACGAAGGCGCCGGATGTTTCCTCCGGCCTGGTGACCGCCACTCCACCAACTTGTAGTTCTGGCGCTGCATCCGACACCGCCGCTGCCACCACTACAGCGTCAAGCACGGGAGGCACTGGTAGCGCGGCTGCCTCCGCCACCTCATCTGTCAGCAACGTGGAATTGGCCTCTCCGCTAGCAAGTCAGCTGAATGTCGCCGCTAGCGCCAGCGGCACACAGGCTGTGAGTTGTAGATTTTTCTTCCTCTCAATCTCCTGACTTGCTCACTTTTCCTAATTCTGCGCCTACTTCTTGTTGCTGCACCAGGCGGAAGGTGGAGGTGGGTCTGTGGTGATTTCCGATGCTGAAGCCCCGCCGGAGGAAAGGTACGCGGCGCAGCTCCAGATTCTCGCTAGTCTGGGCTTCACAAACCGAGAAGCCAATCTACAAGGTACCTCCCGCCCCCTTCTCTCTTCCTCCTCTTCCCCATATTTGCTTCTCATCGACGTCTTCTTTGTGTTGTAGCTTTAATCGCCACCTTCGGCGATGTTAACGCGGCAGTCGAACGACTTCTGGCTAATGGGCAACTGAACTAGGATTGGCGCTTGCGTGTGTGTCGTTGGAATTGATGCTATCTGCAGACGTCGTTATTGATTTCAACCGATCCCCACTTCGGCAGCTGCAGTTCGCTCGCCCGAAAGCTTGTACAACCAGTCTTGCTGTTTCGTTTTCTACTAACCCACTACTGCTAGTTACCTATCTTGTCCCCCCTCCACCCAACCTCTCCCGCTTCACATTTAGGTCCTATCTATTTTTCCTTGCGGGTGTGTGTGTGTGTACGAGTGTGTTTACAAATGTCAGTTCTGCAGTCTCGGCTCGCTATCTCTGATTTACACGAATAAACATCGTCCGGGATTGTGTCTTTTGAAATCGAAGATCACTTCGTCAGCTTGTTCGAAAAATGGGATGTTTGTGTTGGTAGTAGCTGGGTTTGGTGGTTGGGTGTGGTGTTTTGGTGTGACGCGTCGTTGTCACCTGGTGACCAACATCTTGGCATTAGATATCGGTGACTGAGGGCTGGCTTTGGTGTGCAAGCCTCATGATCACCTAGCAAACTGCGCAGGAGGTATGCACTGTCGTAGTGGTGCATCACATCGCCTTCGAATCACCCAATAGCCAAAACGTGTTGATCCTTAATTTGGGTTGTATCCATCGAAGTTGGTATCTAAGGATTATTCCCCTTAACTGCTTTGTATATTGACTGATGCACAGAACACAGTCTACTTATGAATATCAGTGTGATGGCATTTTGGTCATAATCGAGTATTGATCTGATAGGTGTTTACTGCACTTATTGCATATTATGTGACGAAATCCTTGATAGAAATGAGGCCAACAGTTTTCTCTAGGAAAACTAAGTCAAATGGGTGCGATTGGTTGAAGAGATGGTGGTGTAGATTTCGAGGTCAAGATGTAAATACACGATCTGCCAAAAGGTGCTTGAGCATTCAAGGTAAGATAGGCTTCGCATGCGTATGTCTTTTTCTCTTGCCAGTAATTAAGTGAAACCACTCAGATAATGTTACCAGATACCTTGTTGACGCTAGCACCTACGTCGCCACGCTAATGCAAGAACAAGACCACAGCTCGTGCAGAGAGCTTTAATCACGTGAGCCAGAATGCCAACACTCACAGAGGTCAGGGGTGACCTTGACGTTATGGAGGAAAACGGAATAACACGGATGTGGTTGTCACTAGGATGCCTTGGGTGACTCGCTCACTGATATGGCGTGGTTTGGGGATTAGAATAAACAACGACGGAAATGGCGAAGAGCCATCTTGGGGGAATCCTAGATCCCCAACACCTCTCCCCCTTGAAAAGCCAGTAACGCTTCTTCTTTGGGTCGACTTGCAGTAGTGTTGGTTTCCGTCGTTTTCGACTGTTCTGACGTGGGGGTGAAGACCTGTCTGCTGCTAGTTGATCGTTGTTCATTTTCACTACGGTTGTTACTACCGGTGTCGGCAGCTGGACAGTGTCGAACAGCACATCGTGTGGGAGGCTGGTCTGGCGATTTTGTGTCGCAGATCCTTTTCTCCATCGGAGCTTGTTGCGATGCCTTGACCACGTGTCGTGACCCACCGTCACGCCGAGCATGACCTTTCCGTGTCGGCGTGCAATCGTCCCCTCGATCCATGTGTCGTGTTTCCGTCGATAGTTTCGAACGTACACGGCTGTTCCAATCTCAAGTAGCATGGTAGGTTTCGCACTTGGAGGCTCCAGGCGGTTGTTTTGTGAGGGAACCATGGCGGAATTTGTTGTCGGCAATTCGCCACCCACGAGTGCCTCGGATGGCGACTGTTGATTTGGAAGGGCCTCGTTTGGTGTTGTACAAAACACCAGCAGGAAATTCTGTAGGCTCTAGACGGACGTGAATACCTAATCCACGAGATTTTAGCAGGGCTCGCTTCAAGGTGTCAGCGAACCTTTCTGCCTGTCCGTTGGACTGTGGGTGGCAGGGTGTGGAGTTCCTGTGGGTAATAGCATGCTGTCGACAGAATTCCTTGAATTGTTGTGATGTGAATTACGAGCCATCGTCGGAGACTATAGTTTCCGGAACCACATGGCGGCTGAAAATGTGTAACAGAGCCTGTAATTTCCTTGTTGTTGATGTTGTTGTGGGGGAAGTCATTGACAAGATCTCCGATCATTTTTATTAGGCGTCCACCAGCACAAGGCACGAGACTCCGCAGATCGGTCCAGCAAAGTCGATGTGGATGCGTGACCAGGGTTTTTGTGGCTGTGGCCAAGGTGCTGAAGGAACCTTGGGAGGGTTCTTGGCCGCCTGCTGGCATTCGCGACAACTCGTGACTAGGTCCGCCATTTGCTGATCCATATTTGACCAGTAAGGATAGCCGCGAGCGATAGACTTCATGCGACCGATGTCGGCATGGCCAGTATGAAATTGACGGAGAACCCACTAGCGTAGTGATTTGAGCATCGCAACGCGTTCTGCGAACATCAAGCCACCGTCTACAACGCAGAGGAAATCGCATCGCTGGAACAAATGGTGAAGATCTGCGGTGAGGGAGCGTTGTGGTCATTTGCCTTGGACGCAACGGATGGCCTGCCGTAATGAGTTGTCCGAGGCCGTTTCCCGTTTGATGTCGAGATTCGAAACCGGCAGCACACGAGCTGCTTGAAGTTGCTGTGGTGTGATACCTTCGTAGACGAAGATGGCGGCGATGACGAGGCCTGGTTACTGATGGGCCGTGATAGTGCCTCTGCTTGCCCAAACTCCTCTGTGCGACGCTACTGCATTTCGAAGTCATAGCCTAATAGGACAAGTGCCCACCTTTGGAGGCGGTTCGCGGTGTGAGTTGGAATGCGTGTTTTTGATCCAAGTAGTTGACAGCAGTGGCTTGTGATCTGCCAGCTGAGTGAATCGCCGGCCATAAATGATCTCATGGAAACGGTGGACAGCGAACACTAAATCAAGAGATTCGTCCGGGTCGAATTTGACTTTACTCGCATTCTTTATGAACCACTGCCAGATGGTCAAGGAAGTCGTCCAACTCTCCTATTGCGCGTTTGAGACATCGGCACCAGGTACTGCACAAGGAGGTGCGTTC